TTGTTGTCTTATTTGTTTAATTTGTGAAAAGTCTGCGCTCCCCTCTCCCCTTCGACTCGCTCAAAAAATATAAAAAAAGGAAAAAATAGCTTGTGGCATCCCTTTGACTCAACAAGTTGAACCCGAAAAGAATTTGCATAAAAATTCATGGGGTTTTTGGTCCCGTTTGGCCCAGATATTTATATCTGTATCAGTTTTCCCACATATACTATATGTATATACATATGTATATATGCGTTCGAGCTAGTCGGCGATTAGTTTGGTATTCCCCAGAAGCATTAAATCAGCATAATTCCGTGATTTCGCTAAGGGCAGAAGGATTGCTTCTTTGTTTTCACCTGGGTTTTCCGCAGGAATCCTCAATGTCAGCTAGAGCGCAGCAAAAGTAATTTACAATATCGATGTGACATGGCCACAACCTTGGATGGCTTCCATTTCCTTGGCATTTTCCCCGTGAATTTTCCGCAATACCCCCTGCTTTTCCACCTTTTCCACCTTTTCCGCCTGTCCCATTCTGTATTATTTAACAGATGCTGCCAATGAGGCGGAGATGAAGGCGCCATCGCCGTTCTCATTACTTAAAAGCGAGACGCCAAAAAACGTTGACTGAACGATGGCGCGGCCCACGCGGCGTATGCGCAATAATTTGCAGCTGAAATTTTGCAACTGCTTGCTGGTGGTTAAGGAAATGCGGTTAACAGTTAACAGTTAAAAGTTAAAAGCTAAAAGTCAATAACAGCAAGCAAGAAGAAGAACATTTAATTCGATTCGGGGTCGAATTTCCACTGGAGTCGTCGCAGCGCAAAATGATCAAATTAAGTCATCGGCAATCGTTGAGCGAATTCAATTGCTGCAATTCCATTAAAAGCGTTTCGATATTGATTGTTCGTTCAACTCGCCAGGGAGGCCATTTAATATAATGCATAACGATGCTGATGAGCTTACGATTTTAAAGACCTTTTTGTGATTAAAATGAAAAATACTATAGCCAAGGCCTGTCGATAATTACGACCATAAACCAAATAAAGCGTGTATTTTATGGCACATTTACGAGAGCTAACGACGGCTGAAATATGAGTGCCTATTAAAAATACAATACAAATGTTTTGCAAACGGGCAATAATCATAATTATGATATTCATGACTACTAAAGTAAGAATAATTTGGTAACTGATACGACTATTCCCCTAAGCAGGGAATTTCAATCGAAAATCTGGCATTTCTCTTTGATATTTATTACAAAACCACTGTCAATCGATTTCTATCGATAGCCTGATCCGCTGAGCGATTGACGCGGCCATAAATCGATTTTATCGATTGCGGCTTCCATTACCAAATTGAATCGCACAACCCTCGGCCCCCAATCGAAACTCAAGACGTGCATTTCACATGCTCGCATGCTGAATATTTATCGAATAATGAATAAGGCACACACATACCCAGACAGATTCCATTAACCGTATTACGTAAAAGTTGCAAATAAAAAAGTACGGAATTTATCGAACTGCCAAAAAGGAGAAGGCAATGTGTGTACAACGTATATGGAGGATGTTGAAGGGATTCTGTGGATGCTCTGCTCGGAAATTTACGGTTGTGCTCTACTGACTGCGCCAGGTGGATTCCGGAACTTTGGATACCGCATGCTGAATTTTCCGACCGGCTTAGTGGACGCCATTCATGGCCAATAAAAAGTGACGCATAAAAATATGAATTTTATGTCTGCGTATTTAAAACGACAATAAGCAGAGCGTGTGGCCGTGAATGAAAAGAATGAAAGTAAGGGAAAGTAAAGCTCAAGTCCCCAGCCAGGCAATCAAAACAAAAAAATCCAAAGAAAAAAAGAAAAGCAAAGCAAAGAAAAGCATGAGCATGAGCAACAAATGCGCTCAATGAAGCTGAAAAGCAAGAAAAGCGGTGGAAAACGGTGGGCCGCTTGGATTGGAAAATCAAATGAAAGCAAGAAAACCATGCTCGACCAGGTATTCATATATATATTCGTATATATGCAGCTGTCTGTGTTTCTGGCAGCTGCTGAACACGAAAATGAGTTTTCGCCTTCAACTGCCTTTTTATGCCAGTCAAGCCAAATAAAAATAATAATAAAATCAGCGCAATAAGCAAGCAATGAAAGCGGCGAAAGCGAAAGCGAAAGCGAGACCGAGCATCGATTTATACACAGATGAGCAATCATAAATATTAATGTTAAATACAGCAGGGCTCGAGAGATTGCAACTGGTATGGTATTCCCGGGAAACCCGTAGGAGATCCGAAGAAAGCCGCATACCCATAACTGACCATTGCCCAATGGGATGGCAATCGCAATGGGCATTGATAACCGAAAGTTAAGTTGTAATCTGCTCAAAGTTCTCACTTCCCATGCCGCCAAAATAACAAAATGGCACCATGGCTTTATGCTAATGTCGGCGACTTTTTCCGACAGTCCCTGCCTCATAAGGCAGACGGTGAGCATAAATCTTCCAGGCTCGAGAAAGGACTCCCTGAGCTGAGCGGCACAAAAAAGGATCTCCAAGCCGTCGGGCGACATCGAGGCGCGCTGCCACTGATTTATTTGCCAACGTGTGTACCACGCTGCGTATGCTTATTATTCGTGGGACTGCCTTCTTGATTTTCCCCCTCGCGTTGCTTCAGTTTTTTGCTCGTGTTGTGTGCTATTTTACTTTGCCGCTGCTCCAGAGACAGCTATCAATGACAGGGGCTTGATTTTGCATTTAAAAGTGAATTATATATCCGCAGATTCCACCGACAGCCGCAGAATAAAAAGTGTGCGGGCCATGGAGGACTGTGCAAATATCTTGCCACATAAGCGGCAATTTATTTGCATATTTTCATGGCACCGACAGTCTGAAGAGTGAATTGTCCTGGTTGTTGTTTACATTAACCCGCCGGCGGAAAAGCGAAGGGGGCCAACTACCAGACAGCTATGTATGTGTGGGTAAATAACAAATTGGTTGGTGATAAGTGAAAAAACTTGCAAGGCAACGAGTGACAGTTGTGTAGGTACACATGTCTTAAAGGTTTTATTCCTTTTTTCTAATATAAATTCTGAAGGAAATATAATTTTCAGCTCGTACTTAACAAAAGTACGGGAAAATGTAGCTGTTATTTTATGTGACTAATGGATTGAGCTCCTAGGCGTGCCCTTTTTTAATTCCTTTCAATTGAATTGAGTTGCAATTTGTTATGCGATATAATAATGCACAATGGCTGGCAAATCCATTCGGAACGAACTCAATAAGTCCGCTCGTTTTGGGAAACCGTTTATGGCGATGTATATCTACAGTTTGAGTCCACTTACAACATAAATTCATGTTGCGCACTGTGTTGACCCATTTCAAATTGCTATCGCGTTAATATCTGACATGTTTGAATGTCACATTGATCCCGTTATTCGGCTAAAGTCTGCTTGTGTGTGTGTGTGTTGGGTTTATTTGTATTTTTGTTCGCCCTTTGACTAATATCAACACCAAAGTTGCCTTACCCGCGCTGTTTGTGTTTAATTATGTATATCTGTGTAAGGCGCACACACACAAACGCAGAGAGCCGGGGTAAATCGCACACAGATACAGCCTGATTGTGTGAGGTTACATGGGTGCCATGTGTTTTTGTGCAAGCCGCTTACAATAGTTGTACCACTGTGTACATGTGTGCGTGTGTTTGCTCCTGTCTCCTTAAGCCTGCTCAACATTTTCCAAATTATAGGGTAACTTTTGTATTGTCACGTGCGTCTATGTATGCCTGTGTGTTTGGCATTGTTTGTCTTGGCGCTGACTTCCGTTTCCGCCTGATAAACAAATGGCGCCAGTCGACGATTAATTATTGTGATTTCTAGTCCTAAGGTCCACCCACAAAATAACCATAACAATAACGGCAGTAGCAACAAAAATACAGCTAAGGGACACGTGTCCTGGCAATTCTCAATAGCCCATTCGACAAACCATTAAATCAACGGATTTGCGTACGGACAAGAAGACGCTTATAACATCATTTAAGGATTTAGTTCTTTATTATAAGTATACATTTTAAATTTTAAATATTCATGCATACTTGTCCGAGTATTAAACAAAACCTTCTGCGATTATTTGCGTTTACTTAAATGTATATCAAACGACTGTTTGTAGTTTATCTGCATTTTGATAAATTGTTTGAAAAAAAAGGGCTTGTTCAATCGGTTCAATAGATCCGCACAAATATCTCAATAGCTTTTCAAAGGAGCCTCATCCCTTGTGGCATTTCTTTGGCAGCCTATCAATGAGCCAATTTTCACACAATTGCAACTGTGTGTGCGTGTGTGGGAAACCACAACGAAGCACTTTTTGGCACGTTAATGTGTTAGAGGTCCTCACCTCACGGCGAAGCACAAACACAAACACAGACACAGACGCAGACGCACACGAGCCGTAATTAATGATTGAGCGCACAAGGGTCTCCCCCAAAAAGTATGCTACGTTTCTTGTCTATACGCACAAAATGTGCTTCTCATTATTTTTACGTACTACACACGCACGCACCCACACATACTCACACACACCCACACACATACATCAAGTTTTCAGAAAAAGCAACGCACGTGCGTATAAATTATGTTTTGGCTTCATTATGTGGGTGAGTGTGTGGGTGGCTCAGTTTGGGAGTGGGTGGTGCCCATTGCTGACGCCAAGTATCGCATTAAAAATCAATTCCCGAAACTCTGCACGTACACCAGAAGAAAATTGTTCTAATGAGCTCATTAAAGCGTAATAAAATAAGTAATGCGCTTAAAATTGGAAAAAAAAAAGCGGAAACTGGATTTTCGAAATGAAATTATACAAGTCCTAATTAAATCCTGTGGATATGACAGCGATTTAGTGGCTTATGGTTTCCTTTTTTTGGAAATAGTGTTAATTAACTTTGCTCTGGTGTAAGCTGATGTTGCACTTATAATTTAATATTCGACTTTAATGACTGTACTAATTGTTCACTTACCCCTTCATCAATTTCAGCAATCGGCAGGAAGATGGAATGACCGAAATTCGCTTAGTTGGCACCCCAGAAAATGCTGCCACAGCCAGCGGCGGCAACAACAACAACCACAACTCAATCAGCAACATCTGCAACATCTGCAACCTCGACAGCGGCAACATCGGCGGCAGCAACAGCAGCAGCAGCAGCAGCTAGGAATGGCCAGCGACGTGGCGTGGCAGCAGCAACAGAAGGCTGCAACAGCAACAGCAACAGCCACATCGGCAACAGCAACAGCAACAGCAAGCTCAGCAGCAGCAGCAGCATCACCAACAGAGTAAGTCAAATGCATTCCAACGAAGAGCCGCCCATGACGGTGATCGTCGACGGGGGCGGTGGCAGCAACGTGTCCGTTTCCGGTGGCAGCGGCCATCGGCGTGGCAGCCAGCGGTTGCGGAAAACCAGTTCCTCCAGTGCCAATGCCAAGTCGGCGTCGGCGTCGGCGAATCCTGCGGAAAGAACGAGCAGTCAGACGAGCGGCCCGCGGTCATCGCATCGCCAGACATCGAATGCCTCGGATGGTGGAGGCAGCAGCAGGCGTCGCTATCAGGGGAAGGAACATCACGATCGACGTGACCGCCAGGATCGGCAGGATCGGCAGGAGCGCCGCGATCGTCGCGATGAGCAGAAGGCGGCACGTCGGCGAACAGGACGCCGGCACAGTGGTGCCTCATCGCTGAGCGATGCTGCCGCAGCAACAGCCGCAGGACGATCCCGATCCCGATCCCGATCTCGATCCCGATCCAGAGGAGGAGGTCGCACTGGTGGAGCGGTCAGCTCGTCGACCGCCTCCAGTTGCAATGGCAGCTGCAGCTCCGACGACGGCGACTCATCGCACACCTCGTCCTCCAGCTCGTCCAGCTCGTCCGGCGAACCGAATCTGCCGTATCCGGGATTCCCCGAGATCTCCATCAGGGCGCTGACGCAGTACACCCGGCCGCGCAACTGGTGCCTGATGCTCATCACCAATCCATATCCTTTGCACAAACAAAAACGGAGCGTGTTTGGTGGGTTGATGGCTGGGCTGGGATGCCCTAATTGCCATTGTCCTTCGCTGGCAATTTACCCATGGGTGTGTGTGCTGAAGTGTCCTTGTCACACATTTCCCAGGATGTGCGTTGTGAGCCTATTGATTTTTCTCTTCTTTTTCCGCCCTCTTCCTCCCGCTTTTCTCTCTCCACTTTTTATTTTTTTTGTATTATTCATGCATTTTTTTAATACGCCTAAGGATACTCGATTCAGTGTAGGATGCGAATTTGTAACAGGTGCATCCTTTTGATGTCCTTCCTTGGCAATCTTGCTTTGGGTAATCTATATAGCTAGGATTCTATATGATCTACAAGCTCATAGTGCTCAGGTTATAGGCGGCTCAATATAAGAAAAATATATAAAATATGTACTGGGTATCTCTTATTCGATCTACTCACCAATTTCTCTGTTTTTCTTTTTTTAGCTGCCTGTTGCAAAATTCATGCTACAATGTCAGCAGTTGCAAAAGGTATGGCGTGTGTGTGAGTTCGCTGGGCATAAATAATAAATATCTGAATGGGCATCGTCATTGAGAGACGGAACCAGTGGATATATGTCCCCCAGTCCCAGTTGCCAGATTCTTCCGCTGCCGCCTTGTTTTCATATCTGCCGCATCCCCGCCCATTTTCTGGGGGGATAATGTGCGCCAATCAGTGGGATGTGGGAGGCGGAGGAGGCGGCGGCGGCGTAGGCGGAAGGAAGAAGTTGACAACCCTGGCGATTCGATGTTGTTTATCTGCCAGTGCCAGACCCCCTGCTACCGCCTCCGATCCTGCCCCTGCTGCTGCCTCGAGTGGCATGTGGCACATGTGCATGAAAAATCGCTTTGCATACTCCTTGGCGCGCACTTCACATTTCACTTGGAGCGAAATTAAAATTGACTGACGTGGATATTTATTTATGCCCGTGGTTCTGGTTCTGGTTCGGAGTCTGAGTCTGAGTAAATTATGATAATTGAGTTTCGAACGTCGAGTCGCTGCTCCTGGGACATCGCAGTGAGTGGAATGTCATTATTTTTAGCCCAAAAGCCGCGATGATGGCTGCGATTTAGCCACTTGATGTGCCACATCCACACCCATGGAAATCTCCGTTGCTTTGTGGCACAAGTATGTAATCGCTCTCTCGGTACTTGCCACTTAATTGTTAGCCATAAATTTTGATTTGCCCCATTGTTCGCGCTCTTCAAGCGTCGCCCCGCCATTGTATTGTTTTCTATATCTTGCTGACATTTTATGGATTTTATTGTCAAAGTTTACGATACGATGGCGATGGCGATGGCATGCCCAATGCCGCCTCCCTCAGCGCCAATTATTGTGTAGAAAGTGTGGTTGGCGTTCAGTTGAACACTGGCAGCCGCAGCGATTTTGTGGCTGGGCTGCGGTGCAACTTCGCCCTGGTTGCAATCAAACTGCTTTGGCTAAACTAATTTAAGTGCAACTTGCTTGTGCTACCCCATTTCCACTTCCACATCCACTTCCGCTTCCCTTTCCCTTTCCCTTTCCGCTTCCGCTGGCGACGCTCGTCTCGACCGTGTCTTTGGTGACCCAGACGTGACTTCGGCTGCAGCTGAGGTCAGCGGTGCCATTTGCCAAAAAGTTAAAGCCGCCGCAGCGTCGCCAGCTGGCCTTGCGTATCAATATCGGTTGGCATACGCTTCCTTGCCGCTTTTCCCACCGCCGTCCATCGATGGAGCCACTCTGCCAACTGTTATCAAAGGGCACGTCTAGAATATTAATCAGTTCGCTTGGAAAATATTGGAGAATAACTTAATTACAAGCAATGCTCCCTCACACAAGTTCATTTGCACAGGTTGCCATTATATCATTATATCGAATCCTAGGATCCTCAAGAAATTTTTCTCTGTGAGGTGACATTGGCCTTTGCAACTTTTCCACCCAAATTAGCAATGCAACTTTAAGCACACCCTCATATGGGATGATGCATTTTCGTGCAGTTTCCGCAAAGTTGTCTCCTTCATTTTACGGCGCTTTTAGCGCGAAATGTGCGCGGCACGTGCAACGTCCATATATACATATAGATGCATCTGTGTGTGTGTGTGGGGATCGCAGGAGCGGGCGCTAAGTGTCGGTTTTGGCGGTCAGGGGCTGCCAACCAGAGGCACCCACACCAGCTGGCTGCATTAGGAGCACACACGGCTATTCGGATGCGCAGGCATCATTAGCAGGGAATGCGGGCCAGGATTCGCTCCTTGGACAATGTGAAGTCGCTCCGACGGCCATAACTAATTATGACGGAGGACCAGGAGTCGGTGTGAGTCCCCTTTGGACTCGCTGACCGCCACGGAGTACGTGCATTGTATTCGTTACACTAATGCGTCTCGTTCTGCCAAACGGACGAGTAGCGAGAGTCCTTGTGCAGGTTGTGTTAACTGCTTGTTGACTTTCGTTTCCCTTTCCTAATGCCTTTAAAAGCACTGCTAAAGGCAATTAAATGGCTCAAGTTGTGTTATCCAGCATATGTGGCAGTAGCTTCGTTTTCCTAGCAACTACCCACTTTGTATCGCAAATCTCTGTACGGATGAGTAGTCAATTAGATGGACCTCTGATGTCACAGGAGCAATTAAATCGAACTGAGGCGAACTTGTCCCTTGCGCAGCCAATTTATCTCAAGTTTTTCACTTTCACTTTTACTTTTGGCCTTTTCGTTTTCCAAATGTTTGTTTTTTATGTTTCGCTTGCCTCATTCGGGCCTTGCTTATTCGTTATTCGTGATTCGTTATTCGTTATTCGCCATTCAGTATTCAGCACTCTCCGTTCTTCAGGCGCCGTCGCCCCGTTTCAGCAATTTGGCATGTTCAGTCATCTTATTCGGCTTTTGCTTTCGGGGCCTCGTTTTTGTTTGTGGCTCTTTTAATTTGTTGCGATTTCTGCACGCCTGCATGCGTCCCCATTCCCCGACCCGACCTGCCACGCCCCTTAATGGCAACGCCCCATCCGCTGGCCGACTTAACGCTCGACTTAATTTGTTTACTGTTGGCTGGGGGGCCATCGCTGTAGCCAAATCAAAAATAATGCGCGCACACCCGGGCCCGACCTTCCCACCCACTTTACCACCCACTCTCACACCTGACCAGGGATGGGGATGAATAGGGTGGGTAGAATATCAATGGGGTAGATGTCATATCGGAACATCTTGCTTTGTAAATTTTAGTTTTTATATGGAATTTCCTTCGATTGCAGACAGCTTTAATCCGCAACCATAAAATTGACGTTAAAACCGAAAGGCTGGACCTTAAATATCGCTATTTTATTTGGCATAAAAAAAGCGCAACTTGGTATAATATTTATATATCGTGCTGTATTTTGGCATCCCTATACGTGGGATATATATACTATACCATGCCTCCCTTTGAAGGCAGGTTGAATGAAATGAATGCGCCAGGGTCGATGCTGCTGCCACTGCTGTCGCATATTTGTGCTGCTGCAGTATTTATCCAGGCGGAGAGTGGGCGTGTTCCCCGTGCCGCCCCGCCCCCTAGGGAGCCGCCCATCCCGCCCTTTTTGTTGGCCTGGTCGCGGCCCTTTGTGCCGTCTGGCCGGCTCACATTTGTTTTTATGACACGGCCGCGGTCCCAAACCAAAGCGAACTGCACTGCACTGCACTGAACTGAATCCAGAACCACGAGCCCAAACTATCCGATCCGAGCGAATCCGATTCCCTGACCCTCGAACAGCATATGCCTCAATCGCCCCTCGCCTCCTAATGAATTGCCCTTTTTGTGGCGACTTTTCGTCCTCACCACCCGGGAATATTTCGCTTGTTTGTGCTTTTCCGTTATTTCTTTTTTTCCGCCCATTTCCTTGCGTTTTATTTCGGTTTCGCTGGTTTCTGGCCAGCGGATGGTGCGCCGCGTTTTATCTTTAATTGTGCGTTAATAGCGTAAACATTTTTGCCATTTTGCGCGTGTGCTCTCGATCCTTAATTGCTCCGGCGAAAGAATGAGTCCTTGGCGCTCATTTGGCCATGCATTAAGCCGGCTCGAAATCCCCCCCCTTTGCCAACTTGCTTGCCAACTTGGCCTTGTGCGAGTGTTTGTGTTTTCCAGTTTTTTGCTCTTCCTTTTTCGCCCGAGGCCCGAAAACCAAAGTGCAGCTGCGAGGCTTTTAGGCGACAAGTGGCAGAAAGGACGATGGGTTGGGCGAAAAATTCAGTCGCTGGAGCAGTCGATTGAATTCCATTTGATGAAACCCCCCCACCCAAAAAAAAAAAAAGAAAATAACGTGGAGCCCTAAAAGCGCATTACTTGCACTCGTATTTTGCTTAGGTATTGCGTTTGCCTGTGCGTTGCTGTATTTTCCACATTTCCAAGAGTCTAAAGAAAACAGCAATTAAGGCAGACAATTAAACTCTGACACAATTTCATTTGAGTGATTAAATTACAAAGAACTTCACACACGCACACGCACACGTATTTCCTGCTGCCTTGCGGCTTTCAAACTCGGCTCATTGTGGCTTCATCTAAGCCCAAATTGTTTGTTTTTGCCTAGTCTTGTTTTCTCTAAAAATGCAACATCTCGAACGATGCGAGCAGAGCCACACTGCGTATGAGCAATAAACTGTGGCATTTGCATGTATTAACTGCTTAAGTGATGGGTATTTGGGCCGAGGCCACACTGCGTATGAGTGTTAAAGTTTAGGGACAGAGAAAACATATAAAACCAGTAATTTACAATGTTGCATTCAGCTGAGCTGCCTGCTTGGCCAAACGCATTTAGATCGAGTGTTATGAGCTGACTGCCAACTGTCATCAATTTGCTGCATTTGCTGCCTGGGAATGGGAATGGGATTGGGATTGGGAGCTGCAATGGGAATGCAGAAACCAAGAGCCCCAAGCAGCCAGCCCCACTAAACCAAAACCGAGAGCATTCCAAACGAGACCGACAAACGACAACCGCAGGAGGCGGGTGGAAAATGTGGGCGGTGTGGGTGGCTGGCTGGGTGGCAGGCAAGTTGACAAGCACTTGAGTGCGCATTAGAGGCAACTGCAAGTTGTTATCCGCCACGCCCCCCTGCTCCGCCCCTTGCCCGCTTCTTGCGCTCGACTTGCTTCGCCTTCAATCAGCGCACAAAAGTAGGCAACGACTGTGCCACGAAAATATCTCTGTGTTTCCCTTTGACCTCGTCCTTGTTTGCCGTTCCTTTGGTTCTTCCCTTAACTTAGATACGGACTTGCCTCCATTTGGGCCACCCCACATGGTTCGAGCGCGTCTCCATCCTGGTCATCCTGCTCAACTGCATCACCCTCGGCATGTATCAGCCCTGCGTGGACGACGCCTGTGTCACGAACCGCTGCAAGATTCTTCAGGTGAGTGGAACTAAGAGAAATTAAGATACCATAGGATAACTCATTGAATTTGGCTTGTAAATGTTTGAGTACGAACAGCATGAAAATTGCAATGCCATGTCAGTGCATTTAGTACTGCCTGTGTGGAATATTTTTAATTGACATAATTATGGATCCATCCCGGGGGCTTAAGGTTAATTTGATAGGAAAAATGATGCGAAAAGTGTGGCGAAGGACTCGAATGGCTGGGTCTCGCTTTCTTCGCTGGATATCCTTGCTCCCCAGGTGGGCCTGTCAGCGTCGGTGTCACATTAAATGCCATTTATTTAAGCAATTTTTTGGCTCACTTCCTGCCTGCCTGCCACACTGATGACACCCCAACGAGGCACTTCGGCTCATTAGGCGGCACCACCGCAGGTTTTCTTCCTACATTTTCTTTTTTTTTGCCTTTGGGGAGCGTGATGCGGGCGGAGTGGGTGCTGTGCAGTGGAGTGTTCAGTGGGGCAATTACAGACAGAGCATAGAGAGAATAGCCGGGCTCAACGTGCGAAAATGTTTGTAAATGATATGTAAGTCGGGCGACAGTTTCGGCGGCAGCCAAGTGTAAAGTAACAGGACAGCCGGGCCAGGACCTCCCGAAAAGCGGGGGACCAGCACCAGTCGCGCCAGGATACTGGATACTGGATACTGGCAAGGACAAGGATGAGTTTCTTGCGGAGATGGCGATGGAGGTGGCAGGAAGGACGAGACAAGACAAGACAAGCGAAGGCATCGCCAAATTGGCACACAGCACAAAGTCAAAATGAAAACGACAGCCGCAGTCGCAGTCAGTGACATAAGTGGGCGTTACTGCCGCCCACTCTGCCACCCTTATCCCAACACACATATATATATCCCGACCATCCCCCAAAGAACCCAAATTACTTGACACAAGACGGTGCACAAGAAAAAGACGACGACGATGATGGCAATGGCGATGGCGATGGCGATGGCGATGATGATGACGCCGCCAAGGCAAACTCATTTCGATGTGCATGTGTGTGACGCCTGACGTGTCCTTGCCACCCCCGAACCACATCCCCTTGCCCCCCTCCCATAAGCATGGTTTGCTAATTTTAATTTGATCAACTGTCGTTAGTTCGTTAGGTATAGGCCATTAATCGAATGGGGTTTGCGGTGCGCAGCAGTTGGTGGAGCTCTAAAAAGCGGCTCAAATTAAAGAGCGAACGGAAAGAAAAAGATCATAGCTACCTAGATACATGTATTCCTTTTTCAGATCTTCGACGACATAATCTTCGCCTTCTTCGCCCTGGAAATGACCATCAAGATGGTGGCCATGGGCATCTGTGGCAAGAACACCTATCTGGCGGACTCGTGGAACCGGCTGGACTTCTTCATCGTACTAGCCGGTCTGCTGGAGTATGTGATGCACGTGGAGAACCTCAATCTGACTGCCATCCGGACGATTCGAGTGCTACGCCCGCTGCGGGCCATCAATCGAATACCCAGTAAGTTTGCAGTTGGTAGCTGGTGGAGTTAACTCCAAGGTTGTGACGCCTAATCCACTGCAGGTATGCGAATCCTGGTGATGCTCCTGCTGGACACGCTGCCCATGCTGGGCAATGTCCTGCTGCTCTGCTTCTTCGTGTTCTTCATCTTCGGCATTATTGGCGTCCAGCTCTGGGAGGGCATTCTACGGCAGCGGTGCAGTCTGATGCGAACCGAAGGCATGGTCTATCCCCTCACGTAAGTACAAAGTTGGGGCGAGTCCTAAGCACTCGATTTGAGTATGAAAAAGAAAACCAGGTCGTATGGGACATATAGGCCTCTGTCTGCCGGCGCCTCCGGGTCTCATACATAATCGTACATATCTAGGCATATAACATACATATTGTACATATCGATATATACATATATATATGCCCGTATCGTGTATTCCGATTCGAACTTTCTTTTGTTGCCTTGAGTGCTTTGGTTTTTGGTTTTTGGCTTTTGGCTTTGTATTTTTTACTCCGCGTCATCTAAACTTAAATCGAGTCCAGACTTTCAGCCGAGTCCTTCACAACTGCCTGGCTGCTGCTTTCCCAATCCTCCCGCTGTTTGGCTTTTTTGGTTCCATGGCTTAGCTTTTGGTTTTTGTTTGCCCTAGCCTTAGCCACAGGACACAGGATACAGGACACAGGATACAAGCACATATCACTCACACAAACAACGCTATAAACGCCTTAAACAAAAACAGTTGCATCAGAGTCCGATGAATTTGCATAAGAAATCCAAAAGGCCTGATGAAGTCCGTTCTGCACACTTGGGCCCAATTCCCTTCTTCGGTCCATCGGCCAAATCCTTGGGCCAGTTGTGGCAACAAAAAACAGCCGTCTGTGGTCCTGACAGCAGGAAGAAGCTGGCAAAAGGACCGCACAGTGGTGCAAGTCCTATCAGAATTCCCTGTAATTAAACAAAAGTGAAAGACAAACCATGGATGCTTAAAGAACTGGTGGTAGTCATCTTACAAGTGTGTTTAGCTTTTTAATTGAAAGCAATTTTTCAAATATATTCCAATATCCATGTATTCAAACATGTCTTGAATTTTGAATCCTTTTTGAGTGGCTGAGAGCCACAGTGCTCTCTCGTCGGCAGCTGACAAAAGATTTTAAACTTGGCCAAAACAATCATTTATCATTGGCATTGTGTTTGCGTCTGTGTTTGTGCCACGGCGGCTTTATAACGTCACACGCAGAACAGAAAGGACACGCGTGCTCTCTCATTCTCACACACACACACACAGGGACACACGCGAAAAAAACAGAAGGACTCACCCATACATAGACAGCGCAGCCCTTTAAAGTAGGCAACGAAATTTTTGGGTCGCTGCGCGGATTGTCCAAGAAGATTCAATTTTTGGCGTCTTTGTTTCTCCCGGTTTCCTTGTTTATTGTTTGTTGTTTGCTTTTGCATGCCCAGCTGTACAAATTGTTTGTTTATACACCCGATTATATGTTGTTCGCAAAATAAATTTATTTTTGCGGCTGACTTTTGCTTTGCATAATTATCGTGCAACTGGCAATTTGCAGTCGACCGAATATTAAGATGATTTGGTTTGATGAGTCTGGGAAATTTAATTCCTACTATTGAAGTCTAGGCAGACATATTTTCCAAAAATATAGCATAAAACAGGTGCTTGCCCCATTAATGTTGATGGTGGTACTTTAATTACGGCAGTTCCCTTTTTGGTTTGAAATCATTTTGATTTGGTTTTTGGGCTTTTCGTTATGAACAAACTGTATTCGCACGGGCAGAAATTGTACCATACAATCAAAATTTCTGTGATATTGTGAGCTTCCGAAGTCATGCTGTATATACACCCACACCCACACCCATACATACACACAACAGACACAACACACACCCACACCCTCACACGCACACTCACAACAACAGACAAGCCTGTGAGAATGGCAAACAGAGTATAGATATATATATGCATATATGTTCTTTTCCAGTTTTTCGTTTCTTCGATTTGTTGCCAAGTTGTGACAAAAATCCGAAAAAAATAAATAAAAAATGAAACCAAAACAGAACAAGAGAACAAAAATATTCCTAATTGGCAGCCAAGCATATCAAAAATCCAAAATCTGACCTCCACTTATCTCTTTATGTTTCGAGTTTTACGTTTTTCCCCTAGAAGCAAACCAAACAAAAATAAATATCAAATACCAACAAAAGCAGATAATATGAAACAAAAACAAAAATCATACCGGGAACAAATTTTTTGTTTACAGGGTTCCTGAAGTGTACAGAGTTCGAGTCCGTGTTAACTCGTAAGATAAAATGATTTATTCCCCTCTTAACTTAACCCACACACTGACACACTCCCACACACACGAACACACAGTTACACACACTATTAAACCAAAGGAAGACCCCCAAGTGGACACAATAAACAGATACAGATTCTAATAGCCGTCTACTAGCTAGTCTACAACTAGATTCTGTCTATAAATACTGATATCAATGTTACTCTTCACCACTGACTTTAAATACCTCTAGCCTTCCTCTAACTGTGTCTGCCTTCACCAGCGCTAGCCTGCTAAGTGCTTAGACCTTTGACCTTTACCCCTAAACCCTTTGTCCCCTGACTAGTGGGTACTACTCTACCAATAGCTCGATATCTAAATGTTTTTCCCCCCTAACGTGAAGCGCGTTGGCCACTGTATCCAGCTTCTTTCCATAATAACATACTCTGTGGAATATACAATTTTCGCAATCGTATGCCTAGAAGTAGGAAAATCCGGCTTGATGGACCATATTCAATATTATCATCTATACATTCTCAATTTCTGCGTGTATGTAAGCCTATTGAGAATAGGATAATTCAGTGGCCACGGCGTTTGAATTGGATAGACAAAGGAATCAATACTTCACTGTCCAAGTACTTTCCACCACACACCCTCACACACACACACTACTCTATGTACCCCTCACGTTCCCACACACGTTCGATAGTCAACACACCGTATTAGTAGATGTGCATATCTATATACTCGTATTAGTTAAAAATGTGGCCATACGATAATACGAAATACGATTCTTTTAACTCTAACGTTTAACCAGCTAACTCTCTATTTCTATCCTTCTCTTTGTATAAGTAATACTTAAAGATTAATGAATATATATACATATATATACGAAATACCAAGCTATACTAAATATCAACTAAATTAAACTAAACTAGACTACCACTAAGCATCCTGCTGTTTCCTCCGCCCAAAATGAAAAAAAACTACATGTATTCACTATTTTGCCCACCCTAGACAACTGTACCAAAAGCAAAAGCCCCTAGTTAACCCATTTGAGGCCACATTTTATTTGCCACCTAGTCTAAACCCTTTTCCAGTTACCACAAATATTTTTAGCCTAGACTTGATGTACGTTCCTTTTTGTGTTTAGAGTAGTTGATGTGGCACCACTTGAACCTGATCTCAGCTGCTAACTAAACCACACACACTTCTTTATGAGTAGATATATATATATATACATAGACATATGTATATACATATATATAGAATCGGGGTCAGACGCCCCCACTACGATCCCCCTTTCAGCCGTTTTGTTTGTGTTGCATTTGCCAATTTTTGGGTTTCATTTTGCAATTTGCTGCTTTTGTTTTCATCATTGTTTGAGGTTCTACAAACGAATATGTATATGACATGTTTTGGAAGCCCCGAAAAAGAGAAGCTAGGAAAACACACAAATAACCGAAATAACAAGCATACCAATTAGCAACAACATACACACAACGTAGATCCGTAAACTGTATCTCCTTTCATTTCGTGTTATACGATCCCATTCCATTTAAACCAGATTTCAGCAGATTTTTATCAGATCTTATCCACCAATGCACCACATATAAAAAAGAGTCACAAACATTCCCAATAAACAACACCTTAGTGGTATAAAGAAGTTATTAACTTGTTTTTTTTTTCAAGAATGTTACGGATGGGTATTTAAAAGTCGGCATTCTAAACGTGCACAGTTCTGTGTTTTTTTTTAAGTTTTTTGCTCACCAAGTTAAACAACATTTTGGGGTCCACAAACACACACACACTGAAATACAGTAAAGTGGAGCACAGTGCAGTACAATATTTAGTAGAGTAGAGCGTAATACACAAACACACACAAACGTACAGCAGCACACAGGCACACTTGCCCCGCACTCACACACACACACACACACTGTCACGCTGCTGTGTGCGCCTATGTATGTGTATCTCTTGTAAGCTGAACTCTTTTTACAGGAAAAATCATCAGTTTCTATTGCAAAGGTATTTAAAGCTGCCCCTGCTTCTTCATTCGCCCTTCTCCCTTTCGCTCTCTCCTATTCACATACACACACACACACACACACACACGCTCGCGCAAATCAAGTACAACAATTACACATATGTACACACAAACGCATATACATGGGCTCCATAAAGTTTTGCATACGTTGAAGCGTGCGAATTGTGCAAAGAAATGGTAGGAAAAAAATTAACAGAATAGAGCGAGCGGGAATATTTCAAAATTCACTTGCGATGCCGCTCGTCCCTCGTCCTCGACTGTCATTGCCGTGCTTGCACGTGCATATTAAACACATTTTATTGTCACACGCACACGACAACACCCTGGAACGCAGACAAGCGTACACACACACACACACACGCACACTTTACGGTTGACACTTGGTTGAGGCAGACATTTTTTGAAGTCGCGAATTTCCGGCGCGTCGGCCATTTTGTGGCAACACTGCGCGTTTAATTTAAATTGCTTTGGCGTTTTCATTTCCTTTTTTACGAGTGTGTAGTCCTCTTCCTTTTTGCAACATCCCCCCCTCCCCTCTGCCTTACCAGCTGTCTTTCTTTGCTCTCCAGCTCCTCATTCCTTTTGTGCTTCTTGCTTTTTAGTTGGCGCTTTGTGGCTCGCTTATATCTCACTTTCTCACTTGCGGTACAGTTGTGTCTTCCTGTACTGATGCTCAGAGTCAGCAGCACTTACTATGACTCACTCCTTCCCGTTTACTCGCTCTGTGGCTATGTCCAGATCTCTGTGTGCGTGTGAGCCTACCAACAGCTTTTCGCTTCTTCCACTCGCTCTCGCTACTCGCCTTAGATAAACGCTATTGCTACTTGCTCTTGCTTACTCGCTCTCGCTACTCGCTATCGCTCACCTCTAACTGCTTCGCTCTTGCATTGATCAACCGTGTCTCACTTTTCAGTTCTGTTTAGATTTTTTATTTTGCCTCACGTATATTGGAATTGGCATTGTCTATCTCACTCTAATTAGTTGAATGTTTTCGCGGATCAACCGCGAAACTCAGCACAAATCAAAATTGACTTATTGGTATCATTTTCTTGCTTTATTTTTTGACATCTCTTTGCGTAAATCTCGATGTATATGTTTACGATACGCATTGAATACACAGATTACTTATATGGAACTACGATTACGGATTACGATTATTAATTGTTCTCTTTGTGCTCTCTCTTTATCTTTCTCTCACTCTCACTCCTTCCTTATCTCTCTATATGTCTCGATCTATATATATATATCTCTCTCTGTGGTGTGAACTTCTGTTTCGTACACTTTGTTTCTTTGTGTGCTGGATGTTCTTCCGATCTAAACTGACAATCGCATCCCATGACTCTCCTAATTCTCTGTACACATCGCACCCCTAGCCTGTCGCAGTACTACGAGTTCTCCAAAGACCAGGACTATATCTGCTCCACGCCCAACGATTCGGGGATGCATCTGTGCGGGAACTTCCCGCCTTATCGCATTGGCTCGCTGGTTTGTAATGGTAAGTCTCGCCCAATCCACACACCCATTCCTATTACCAGCCAACGTCAATTACATTAACTTTAAAGCTAAATGAAGTGCAAATTGCGCTGTAATCAAATTTGATGGCATTTTTAATTGCCCTCTCGCTGTCGCTTAATGACAGCCAGAGCCACCGAAGCAATCACAATTACAAACAATACACTTTCCGCCCCCATCGCCTCTAACATCATTCTAACATCTCTTCATCCCGCAATCCGCAGAGGAGGCCAAGCTATTCGACTTCAATGAGCCGACGAACACGTCCTGCGTCAATTGGAACCAGTACTATACCACCTGCAAGCAGAGCGGCGAGAATCCCTTCCAGGGCACCATATCCTTCGACAACATCGGCATGGCCTGGGTGGCCATATTCCTGGTGAGTGAAATCCCCGTCCCCGTCCCCGTCCCCGTCCCCGTTCCTTCACGGCAAAATAATTATAAGTTTTACTAAGGATCTAACCATGTTTTGTAAAATTAGATTACGACCTGCCTGTGTCAACCACCAGCAATACTACTTGCGTTTCCGTTGTGTATCCAATTAGTGTCCAACTTTGTTGAACAAATAGCAACAGGCGAGGAGCTGCGATAGAACAACAAAGTGTTGTATGCTAATTCGGCGTCAACTTCTGCCACTAGTAAAACTCCCAGCTCTACCAGCTTTCCCTAAACTAACAAAGCAAACCAGCCAGCAATTTGCATGCCCTCCGAACGGAAATCGGGGTGATAGTGATATCCAAAGTGATGGCGATAGTGATGCTGATGCCAAAACTGATGAATGGTAACCCACACTCGCTCCACTTGAATGGCACTCGTCCTCCGGGGCGGTCCTAATTGATATGGCAATTACACGGCGCACACCGCAAGCCAATCTATTGATATGCAGGTCAAATGATGTAATTAAGCTCAAATCAAGTGCACATTAGGCCATGAAACCAATGGCGGGTTATACGCGGCGGTTTTAGCGCGAGTGGCGTCTGTATTAAATGCCCTCAGGGAGTTAAGTCTGAACGGAATTTCGGCGCATTTGTGCAGGCCCTTGATACAATTGGTAATACAATTCACATAAGCTGCTAAATGGTCAAGGCAATCTAGTGCAATCGATAGTTTATTTATGCATTTTTAATAAAATCCATAAATATCCACTGATTTGTTAAGTCTCTGTAACTCTGTGCTGGTGTAAGTTCAGGTAGTTAATGGATAATTTCTTCGTGTTTCACCGCTTAAAGCCGCACATTACGCATACGTGACGTGGCCCCGACCAAAACGCCATCCTAATTGCTCTGCCCACAACTCGTTCCCTTGCCTTTCCCGTTTCATTTTGGCCAACAATGGCGGGCGTGAACAATAAAACACCAGCCATCTGCCTTCCTTATTTTTTCGTTGCATACTCGTACATTTACAAGTATACAAGTATATAGCTATATATCTACAGAGAGCACACGCTAATTACGGTGAAATATTTGTTGGATTTGCAGGTCATCTCGCTGGAGGGCTGGACGGACATAATGTATTACGTGCAGGATGCGCACAGCTTTTGGGATTGGATATACTTTGTGCTGCTGATTGTGGTGAGTGTTGTTCTCTTATTTCGGCGGGGGGATTTCAGAGGACTCAGTGGGTTAGCGGGTCAGGGGTCAGAGGCCAGAGGCCAGAGGCCAGAGGTGTCTGGCGACCTGCCGCTTTGATCATGAATTGAATATTTAATTTGTAGAAGGCTTTAAGGGAATCCAACTAATTGAGCTGAAGTTGCGCAGCTACCATGGTTTTTGGGGCTTAGGACGGCGGCAATGGCAGGCCGTAAGTATGGCAAAGCAATTTGGCCATGCAAATAACTAAATTCATTTTAAACTATGACCACACACGCACAACAGCTCCTGTGCCCAGTGGGCGCCTGCCACCAAACAGTGCGCAAGTTTGTCTACTTTCGTATGGTATGAATTTCATGAAGCTGCTGACATCGTGTTGCATGGCAGACATCAGACAGCAGGTGCCCCGAACCAGCCCCTTTCTCCGCCATTTTCCATTTCCATTTGCCACTTTCGCATTTTGCCAACCGGCGACTGTCCACTTTCGCCAGTGCCATCTTCGAGTGGACTCCAGTCTGTTGTGCTGTCATTTGCATGGCAGGATTTGTGCTCAGGTGTCCTTGGACTAATTAAAAGCCTTTATGGCTCACAGACACTCACACAAGTGGACACAGTCGCAGGCACAGGCACAGGCGCAGATACAGATACAGATACAGATACAGGTGCAGATACAAATGCGGACACACATGAGGAAATTTCATTATTTATGTTTAAAGTTTGCTTAACCTTTCTCTCTCTTGCTCACTCTAGCTCTTTCTCTTTCACTTGCTCTTGCTCTTGCTGTCTCTGTCGCTGTCGCTGTTCATTTCGTGTGCAAAATGATTTTGCTCTTGTTGCCAACAACTTTTGGTATGCAAATAGTTTCCAGTTTCCTCTAGAACTCACTCCAACTCAGCTCACTCCATTTGCTATTGGGCGTTCGCCATGGAAGGAAATTGCTTATTTATGTTTTATGCATTTTCTGCCAAGCTCACGAGTTCCAAATTAGAAGTGCTTTCTTTAGGCCACCTTTATTACTGGTGATACCATAAAGCAAAAGTTTCAGACTTCGTTGCTCCACTCTACTCTAGTTTCTAAGTTTTACAATAATCCGAAAGCCAGGCTTAACGAGTTAGGGCAGACAGGCGCTGGAATCTTAAGTTTAGCGATTTGAAGTTTTGAGATCGCCATCTTGGTGCCTTGTAATCCCACGATGACCACCAGGTGGCGTCTACCGATCCCCCAGCTAATTGAATGAATTTAAGCGGCTGCCCAAAAAGGTCCTCCCAAAGGGGCCATCGGGCGCCGTGTGCGGGAGTATAAAACAAAGGCATGGGAAAACTTATGGCTTGCACTTGTCGCTGGCAGCAATGAAAGCGCAAACTTTTAAACGGAAATGCGAAAAGTTTTTTTGAGCATCAACAGAGCGCCACCTGCTGGCAAGAGCCCGGTTCGCATAACCTTTTATTGCACATTTTAGAGTGGGCCTTCGATTCGTATCAAATGTATGCTGATTGATGGGGTTTTGTTCTTTTTGGAATCTTTACAGATTGGTTCGTTCTTCATGATCAACCTGTGCCTGGTCGTCATCGCCACGCAATTCTCGGAGACCAAGAAGCGCGAAATGGAGCGGATGCGACAGGAGCGGGCCCGGTACACCTCAACCTCGACCCTGGCCAGCAGCACAAACAACTCGGAACCGGCCACCTGCTATGCGGAGATCGTCAAATATATCGCCCATCTGTGGCGGCGCTTCAAGAGACGAATGTTAAAGAAGTACAGATTATATAAGTATGCTGCTTGTACCTTTTGATTTCATTCAATTATACCTTACGTTCGTTATTTTAGTTTCCGGTTTCCGGTTTCCGTTCCGTTCCCTTCCCCTCTCTCTGTCCCGCTCTTACTCTCACTCTCCCAGTCTCTGGCTCTCTATGTATGATTTTTCTGACCCCTCGAGCGCGAAACAGAAGGAAAACAATGAGAAAGCTGTAGGCTTTAGTCACTTGAAACTTGATTGATTACTAACCCCTTAAAGCGAGTAATTAGCACACTAATCTCTTGGCAAAAGCTCAGCTCGCGCTGACAGGAGAACTCGAGCCACTAACAAGGACTTTGCAACCATCACCAGTGATTCCTTCAAAAATTGCCCATGACTCGGGCACCTCTTTTTCCCAAGGAGCTTTCATTTATTTGAGTCTAATTTTTTGAGTTGCATTACTTAAGCAACACTTTGGTTTCCCAAATTTCCCAAATTTTATTATTTATTTATTTATTTTTAACGTTTTCAAACGTTTGTTGAGACTGCCCGCAGCTTACTTTATTTCAATATAAGTTTCTATTTTTTCTTTAAGCCTAGTTAGTTGCTTTGCAATTTGATGAGTATCCTGCGTAACGCATTAAATTAGCAGCGAGTCTAGTGGCCAGGGCATGAATGTGTATAAGCAAAAGTTATAAGCTAGAAGAGATGTAGTTATCCGAAAGTGCATCCACATTGCTACCATGTATTGAGTTCCCTAATGTGCACAAAAAAAAGTGAGGAATTCACTGTTAAAGCCGCTGCGCCCAGCTCTTTGACTCCCCTGAAGGAAATGTATTCGTAATGGTGTCCCACGCTGACCTCCTGTTGATGACCCATCTCTGTGACCATAATCCCATCCTTACATGTGCCTCACAATAGATTGTCGCCACACAATGATGCCGCATTTAGAACAGAGTACAGAATAACGAGTTAAGCGAATGACACTGAATCCGCAGATGGGACTCGTGTTACTTTGGATAATTTGCATTTTTGTACTGTCGTTGTCCTTAGTTCATTTGATTGAATTATGTAATTGCGATTGTTGTCTGTCTAATGGCTAAGCACACATACACACACACGCACACACACGCACAACACACGCACACATGCGACATGGCACTGACACTAATGAGAGTGCACGTACAAATGGAAACCCCAGCCGAATCACCCCAAACCATCTGACCCACCCTTTAGCCGATGCACGTGCAACGCAACTATCCACATCTCTGTGCCACCTGACCCACCTGCCTCCCCCAATCGACCCCAAAACATAGAACACGATGTTTTGTGTACAGACATGAGTGTGTGAACCCCGCGTGCCGTCTCTCAAGCTTGTCGCTAATCAAATTGTTATTTCACCCACTCTGTCAACCTGCCATCCCCCATCAATGTACCACCGAACCACTGGGAACCACTGGGAACCACCGCAGGTACCAGCGACAGCAGCGCAAGGAGGGACTACTGCCCAATGCCGATAACTTGACCTTCTCGCCGTCGCGGATCAAGTGCCATCATCCCAAGTGCCCCAAGTACAGTAATCGCAAGCCGTCCAGTATCCAGGATCAGATGATTACCGTCATGGTGCCGCTCAATTCGGCTAGCAACAACAATAACAATAACAACAACAACAGCACCAGCAGCAACCACAACGGCAGTGGAAACCACACCGCTGCCGGCGTCGGCGTCGGCGTCGGCAACAGCAGCAGCAGCGGCAACAACAACAACAATGCCGCCAGTTGCACCACAGTGGCGCTGGTCAATGGGATAAATGGTAGTGCCGCCAGTGTAACCATGTCCTCGGCCCACCACCAGCAGCATCAAATGCTGCAGCAGCAACAGCAGCAGCACCAAAACCAGCAGCATTTGCAGCAGCAGCAGCAGCAGCACTCCTCCTCCGACAACACGGAGCAATCTCTGGCCGCCGATGGACTGCCCCGCAGCTCCTCGCTGAAAAAGTCCACCGCCCACCATCAACTGAAACCGGAGGGCAGTGCCGCCGAGCAGAAGACCATATTGCTGAAGCTGCCGCAGCAAATGATTGACTCCGAGCAGCTAATTGTAAGTATGGAAGCAGGGCCATCTCTACAGCATTCAGCTCGATTCACAGAAATAGAACACCCAAAATCGATTCGAACCAAAAACAGTAAAGATAAACAGCTACAGAACCAATTGTTTCAGAATTCCAAATTATCGAACCCAAAATCTAAATGGCCAGCGAACAAAAACAGACAGCATTTCAAACAGCAGCCACAAAAGAAAAATAATAATAATAATAATAATCTTTAATATTTGCTAATATTTGTTATAAACCTTGCTAATTCTCAAAGCTGCAGTTGGGAAATTTGGGCAAGGTACTGAACAATAACAAGTTAAATAATATGTATAAATTGCCAGCATAATTTATGAAAGAGCGCAGCGCAACTTCGGTCCGCACCGAACTCTGAATGTCCTACCGATAGATCGATAGATCTAAAGAGGCGGTCATGCGTGACCTCTGGCAAGGACATTCAGCCAGCGACCAAGTATCACCCGAAAATGCTATTCACGTTAAAACCAGCGGAAAAACACTTACAAATTGTAGATACAAACGATATGTTTGCATATTAAGTGCATTCGAAATAGCTTTTTCCCTTTTGTGTTTATTAGCACACTGCGAATTGATTGTCCCATTGATAAATCCGTAGCCCATTGTGCCAGCCCATTGTCCCGTGGAAGCGCCCATTAATTATTTACATTATTCGTTTTGTTTGCGTATGTAAATGCCCGTTTGTAATCAGAGACCATAACCCAGCCCGTATGTGCTCGTTCGTCCATATGTCGCCCCTTGAAGCTATAGTAAATGCAAAAAAGGTTAAAATAGTTGCCAAAATTAAGTATCGCTGTAAGCCTTGTAAATAAGAACCCTATTTACTGATGCGCAACCATATCAATTGATTTCTTTAGTAAATGAAGGCACTGGAACCCTGCGAAAACCTTGTATATAGTATTTGCTAGTACCTAGTCATAGAACCAGTTGAGCGTTATCTTCCATTTCATTCCCTCTAAATGCCCCAAAACCCCCGTTCACTGTTTGCGCCGCCTAATAACTTTTATTTCGAATCGCCGCACACTCGCAGAGTCATCCGTGCACCTCGGGCTTCCTCAGTCCACCCACCTCGGCCAGCCGGCGACCATCGGTGATGTTCAACGAGTACGTGCTGCTCCACACGCCGCCCGCCCTCAACGCAGATCCGGCAACGGGCGGTGGCACCACCACTACGGTGGCCCCAACAGTCGCCACCGTCGCTGGCACGGCGGCGGCGGCTGCCGCAGCAGCTGCTGCAGCAGCGGCGGCATCAGGAGCCGGCGGTAGCAATAGCAACCACCAAAACGGCGGTGCGAGTGGCGGAGCTGGCACAGGGGGCACCACGGAGAAAAGCAACATCTTCTCCACGGAAAAGATGACCCAGGCTGGCGATGGCAGCATCTGGCAGGTAAGCTGTGTCACGCTCCTGGTGGTCAAGTGGCGCCTGGCCCGCACAGGAACTCAGGTGTTGTATGTTCGTGCTCGGGCGCCATATAAATACATTTTCGTCCACTGCTATTATTAGCATTGTTCAGCTATGGAAAAGAGCCAGCAATCAGTTCGCTTCTATTTTGTCATTCTTCGCACAGGTCAATCTGCCGCAGAGCATCGGCACCATTGCCAATCCCTATGCTGATTGCTCCGAGCTGGGTATACACGATGCGATGACCTGTCAGGAGCTCTTGGCATTCTCTGTGGCCTTTTCAGCGGCCTTGCCGACAGGCCAGAGCACGCTGGAGTCATTCTACACATCGCTGGCCCGCTGCGATCCCCACACCGCAGAGGCGTTGCGGGCGCACCACAAGCCGCGCTCGGTGGCCACTGGGCAAAACCAAACGCCACCGGGCGGCGAGGGAGGAGCCACCGTGATAGTTGCCTCAACGGCTGGTGACACCGGGCAGACACTGCAACCGTCGACAGTGTCGGCAGTGGTGGGCGGACCCATCGATAGCCATGGGGCGAACCACCGTCGAAAAGAGCACCACCAGCAGTCGCACCACCATCATAACAACAACAATACCACCAGTCACAGTCGCAACTATCGCTCCCGGCAGGGACAGGGGAATTCGCGAGTGCGCGAGCCCCGCACCCCCACTGGCAACTATATGGAGGACTATGCCTGCTGCTACGATCTCTACCAGAACGCCCTGTCGCCACTGGACGAGCGGCCCAGGCAGAGGTCGCCGACGACTCGGTGCCTAATCTCCGTGTACCGGTGCATGTCGCGCGTATGCAGCTGGATTCGTCGCTACATCAGGCGATTGGTGGAGCACAAGTACTTCCAGCAGGGCATCTTGTTGGCCATCCTGATAAACACACTGTCCATGGGCATCGAGTACCATAACCAGCCGCCGGAACTGACCGCCATTGTGGAGACGAGCAACGTCGTCTTCTCCGGCATCTTTGCTGTTGAAATGCTGCTAAAGGTGGTTGCAGAGGGTCCATTCCGCTACATTGCCAACGGATTCAATGTTTTCGATGGCATCATCGTTATTCTCAGGTGAGTCAAGGTGTTTACTACAAGGAAGATACCTAAGAACCTACGCGTCGATAATCCATTTAACTCTCTCCCCACCATCAATAGTGCCATTGAGATCTGTCAGACGTTCATGGGCAACGGAACGGGTGGCGGTGGCTCCGGTCTGTCCGTGCTGCGGACTTTCCGCTTGCTGCGAATCCTCAAGCTGGTCCGGTTTATGCCCAATCTGCGGCGCCAGCTATTCGTGATGCTGCGCACTATGGACAATGTGGCCGTGTTCTTCTCCCTCCTCGTTTTATTCATCTTCATATTCAGGTGAGTTGGATTGCCGACTGTTCACAATAACTCACAAACACACACACACACACGGGCACAAAACACACCAACACACACAGAAAGACTCACCTGTACAAGAAAAGAAGACACCAACACGAACACATACACAGACACACGAGAAGAAAGCGGAGATAACAAAAGTAAAAGAAAGAAAATTCAATATAATCTACAATCGATAGCCAATCAGTTATCGAACGCGACCCCACAAACATGAAATTAATTATGTATTGAAAAAGAGTGATTAACACAAAGAAACCGAGCCACAAAAACAGAAACAGTTCAGTTTCGTTAACCCATAGCAGTCGTCTTATGCCTAACAGTTCCTAGCGCCTCCTTAGCTGCTTACTACATAGATAAGAGTCCTTCATCTAACCCATCCAGCCAATACCTTCTCATTCCAAAACACCCATCTCTTCCAAAGAATTTTGTCCATTGTAGGGCAGTTTTTTTTTTTATTGGTGATAGAAAATGCCTTAAGAAGTCTATGGATTCTAAAAAACTACTCCTTAAAACATAGCGGTAAATGAAATCTTAAGAACTTACCAAATAATCATAGCTATGCTCTATGTCAAGTCGTGATAAATAGAGTGCCTATGCTTAGACTTTCTGAATTCAATCCCATTTATAATCGACTTAGTAATTTAAGTTTGAGTACATTCCCCATATCTCATCCCTTCCCCAGTTCTCTGGATCCCATAGATCTCTGCCTTTGTCCACCCCATGATCATACAAAACTTACACGTACCTCTTGAGCCCCTGACTCTCCGAACTTCCATCCTCATTTAAGTGCTTCTTCGACACGATCCTTTCTACTGTGTACTACTTGAGTATTGCCTATATAAGTAAAGATTTGCCTTAACGTCTCTTCAAGTGATCTCTTTACGACTTCTCTCTCTCTCTCTCTTTCTCTCACCGCTTATTCTTAAGTTCTAACTCTTGGTATTTTTCTCACTTACTGTGTCTGAGTAACATTTGAAAATTCTGGAAGATTCGTAGTTAGATGACGTTACAAGTTGTGTAACTTTTAAAGCAATCGATCTCGTATACGTACCAGCAAGAAATGTACCCGTATCACTTGATATATATATATATCTCTTTCTATCTTGCTATATATTTCCCGAGCTTCTTAACCCCCATTTACGTCATTTTATCCCACCCCCAAAGTGCCGTTAGTTGTCGTACACTTTGACTCCTCGTTCGTTCACTTTACTTTACACTTACACTTCTTAGACTTTCTAACACCTCACTAAGGCGAAGAAAATTTTTTCCCCCATCTCTCTCTCTCTCTCTCTTCAATATATGAATTTCTCTGTATCCATCACTCTTTCGCTCGGTTCACTATTGACTTGAGTTCGATTTCAAGCACCGACCACGTCGCTGCCTTTTTCGATCATTTTTTTATGGTACACGATCTGTCTACTCAATACCTTCGAACATTACTTTCCAACACACCATGTTCACGGTCACTCTTTCAAACACTATCACAGTCTTTTGCTTTTTTCTATCTGTACGACATCCAATCATTTGAAGCTCTTTTGGTTAAACACACTACAATTACAGCAATAACAGCCACAGAAACAATTAGTTAGCTTAGTTAGTTAGCCAAAAACGCTTTATTCCATTTCAAATTAAATAAGTGTGTATCCTAGCTTCTTTTAGCGTTAACCAACACTGCAACAGACATATACACACACCCCAAACACAAAAGGCTCGGCTTGGCTTGATGCATTTGCCAAAAGACCTGACAATGCGGCCTTTAAAGCTTTCCTGCTCGGAGCTTATCACACGAACACGGCACACGCACACTCACGCTCAGAAATACACCTGACACAAAGTACTTGAAAAAATTGAACATAGAAAAAACTAAAAAGATCGTACGCTTACTTATTGTGTAGTTGCAGTCGCTGCAGTTTGATACATACCTATATATACCTGTACTCTCTATCTCTATATATACCTATCTATGATTACTCGTAATTGATATTATTGTATAACTATGAATATCAAGTAAACACACAGAACTTCAACAGTGAAAACAATAATAAGAACACGCATATTAGCTAGACTAGTTGCTAAAGTAAATGTAATCGAGTTTGTGTAGTTAGAATAGAAAAGACACAACAGCCACACGAAACATCCGACCAGACTCTATATAACCCTACTATGTACTAAGAAGCGAATAATGAAACGAACGAACTGTAAACGGAGCTGAAAAGAAGCCAGCATCGTCAACGATAAATCAACTCAATAAATGCCCCGAATAAACTCGAAAGAGAAAACTAAAATAAAGCTGAAACTGAAAACAGACTATCAAAAGCCAGTCCAAAAATAAACCACATCCAAGGGACCGATTCTCCCCATTAAATGCAAGGCTTTAGCTTCTTAGTTCCTTTGGAGCAAACTGTACCTTTGTTTCATTTCAATTTTATTCCGTCGTCCGGTCTAAGTCGCTCAGATGGTTCTCTAAAGGCGTCTTTATCACCATTTCCCTTTTTCCGAGAGCTTTCATTTGCTAGCTTTCGTTTGCCGCTCACTTCACTAACAAGAACACTTACTAGCTCAAGCCTTTTCTCCCTTGCGCTCTCTTTTAGTCTCTGTAAATCAATCACCCACACTCTGTCTCTTTCGTTCTTTACTATCTCTCTCTTTCTCTCTATAAATATATTTTTGTCTCTCTCTCTCTCTTTCTCTCTTTGTCACACTCCACACAATTTAAAAAAATTTACTAAAAACAATCCAATAATAATCAAATAAATTGAAACCGAAAATTAAAATAAACCTAAAAAACTGTATGCTAAACACAACCCAAAAAAATACCCCAAAAACCAAAAACACAAAAAATATATAAGAATATATATTTAAATGAAATTAATCGAAAACGAAAAACCCAACAACAAAATATATATATATATATCATATTATATATCAACAAAACCAAACCATCACTTTAGTATACTCGGCATGAATCTGTTCGGATGTAAATTCTGCGAGAAAGTTAACGGAGAGATGATTTGCGATCGTAAGAATTTCGACAGCCTGCTCTGGGCGCTCGTCACAGTGTTCCAGGTAGACCCATTGCTATCAGCCTTTTACCATACGTAAACCTATATATGTACATATATATAACTATACTACTACTACTACTACTACTACTACTTCTAATGTTACGCCATAATCTGCTACCGATATGATTACGATAACTTACTGTTTATAAAACCGAAAAAGAAAAAAAAACAAGATGAAAGCCCAAACCCATTACGAATCCCAGTGAAATACGTTCTGATACGTTGAGCATTTAGCTTTCCTTCGTTTTCACTTTTTTTCTATTTCGATTTTGATGGTGTTTCTGTTTTAATTTCCGTACCAATTCGATTACCCGATTGTTTTCTGATTAAATCGATAACTGTTGTGACGTCCTATCGCCCCATAACTCTCGCTCTGAGCCTTCGTCTGTCTGACTAACCATGAGTTCTTTGAGTGCGTGCGAGTGATTTTAAGGTCTAGAAAGCGAAATAATCACCCGCACACACAAAATCTATTATTATTTTTTATGTTTTTTGATATTGCTTTTCGGTTGCCAGACATCGAGATCGACTAGCTAGCTAGCCATCTTGCTCGCTCTCACTAATTTGTGGTGTGCCCTTGATTGAGTGTGGTATTCAGTTGAAGACTTGATTTTATCTTTAGTTACCTAGATTTCGATTTCGATACCGATTACGATTCTTGGTTTGGCATGCATGCGTTGACTGTTGCGATTACCGTTAGCTAACCGTTAGTGTTAGTGATAGAATTGCCGTTGCCGTTACCATTACCGTTACGAGTTCCATAGCAAGCAGCGCGCATCCGCATGTCGTTCGGATTATTCGTATATGGGAATGTCCATAAGCCATATATGTTCATAAGGTCGTTGTATATGTGTATGTATTTATGTGATGTACATTGATGCACCAGGTAAGAATTTCGGTTCGAGTTTGTTGAGCTTCCAGCATGCAATACAATGTAAATATTGTATATATAAAACCGAGTGGAACTGTGTTTGCATCTAGCATCTCGAACACTTTGAAAACACTCCACGAAAAAAAACACACACACTCGCATTTTTTTACACCTCTCACTCTCTTTCTCGCTCTGTCTCTCTGTCTCGCTCGTGCTCTTCTTTATGTACTATATATATATGCCTCGATTTTGTCACTCACTTTGCTCAATGTCCTATTTTTAAGTATATACCTTTCTTTAGTCCATATGCTATCCTAGACTCTAAGTTGTATAGAACTCCACCCGAAAACCCTCTGAAAGGAGAACTCTCTCTGTCTCTGTCTCTCCCACTGTCTCGCACACAGACACAGCGACACACAAACACAAGCATAACCAATCAATCTCCCACTGTAATCTGTAACCAAAGTCCCCCCTTTTCACTCAGACCCTCCAGGCACACGTACCTCTTATACGTACATACATGCGAAACACATACAGATTATCCTGTAATCCGTAGAATTGCTTGGTCATTTCAAGTTGGGCTTCCAATGGATCTGAGATTAACTGTAAAATACAAAGAATCTCTTCCGCCATTGTCGAACTTATGCACAGCACACATTTCTAGAGATATATGTAAATATGCATTGAGGCCAGATCGAGAACTACCCATCAACAACTGTGTATATAGACAGACAGAACTCACAAAAAACAAGTTAGAAAATAGCAGAAGAATCTCCAGGCCAGCAGAAGAACAGATGAAAAGACTCTTCTCTCTGTTTCTTTATCTTCTTTATGAGATCACAAGTATCCCCGAATAACACCCAAGCCACATAATGTACAGGGACCACTAGATGAACCTACTACTACTCGTTTATATCCTTAGACATAAGAATCGCAACTATATATTATATAAATATATATATATATACGAACCCAGCTCTCTCTCTCTATATCTATGAACCAGTTTAAATAGCCATTTATGAACTATAATAACAGACACACATCTATGACTTTATAAATAATACAAATGTATACGGTATATATAAAACATATATATAAACCTGCAGCATACTCGGCATGTATCTGTTTGGCGGTAAGTTTTGTAAATTTTTGGACGAATCCGGACTCGAACGCGAGTGCACGTGTCCCGAAATAATCAGCCGGCATCCGCAATGCGAGTGCGATCGCAAACACTTCAACAACATTTTGTGGGCCACAGTCACAGTATTCCAAGTAAGAACAATAATACAGCAATAAACTACCTAAACCACCCACCCACCACCCGCTTACCCACAGACCTGTTCCTCGAAACCTCCCCACCATCCAAAAGCTGAACCACCCACAACCCCAAAGAAAACCCACGTTGAACAACAGCTACAACAATACCCATCAATACCAGTCTGAAATTCTTGTGATTATGATAAAGTATTTAACGAATTCCTACGTATAGCCACAAAAGTTTCCAGTTCTTCGTTTCTGCTCTCTTTGCCCTCCTTGTTTGATTTATTTTAAAATTAACCTGCTCCTAGTCTTTAACTAAGTACCCACCAGTTGCTAGTATTCCTTGAGTTCTCTTATTATTCAGCTTTGTTTTCGACCTTATTTTCGATTTCGATTTCGTTTCGATTCCGATGCCAGCAATTGTAGTCGTAGAGCTCTCCACATAACCAAACACCCACAAACGCCTTTACGCATTGACTCACGACCATTGGGTAGGATGTTAAAAAGTTATGTTTACAGTTCATTCCTGTAAATATTGAATAGAAGGACATTTATTTGAACTTTAGCATCAGTTTGTGTGTATGTGTTTCCTCCTTGAAACTTTTCCTTTCTGTCACGTTCTTTCATGTTCGGTATACAAATTTATTAGAGATGTCGGGCTTATTTCACAATCCATTCAAAGGGTTATTCTGATAAAATTCCATAAATAATAAATTTCTCGCGCCACAAGTTTCTGGCATATCTATGTTGGACATTTTAAACCTAAATCGTTGTCAGAAGGCAATGTTATTACGTTATCCTAATAAGCCGATACCATCGAATGCACTGACATCTCTAGTATGCAGTGCCCGTACAACTGTACCAAAATAACTAGAGGACCGTGGAAAGACTCGCACTCGCCTCTCTCACATCTTCTCTTTGTTCTGTCTCTTTCTCCCTCTTGTCCCCCTCTTTCTCTCTCTCTCTGTTTCTGTCTCTCGCTCACACACACATACGACATAAGCAAAAACCGTTAACGCTGATGCTCCGAGTTTTGTTGCATGATTTTTGGGATCCTCACATTGATTTGCCTTCGGCTTTTGGCTTTATAATTGTATGCCAGACCAGAAGCAACTATCGATTGCGACCACTCACGACCTTGCAGAGAACATAATGAACCATTAACAGCCACACTCACACCTACTGTATATATTTGATTTAAGTCTTTTGTTTGTTCGATGGTTTGTTTGTTTGTTTGTTGGTTCGTTGGCTTGTTCAAACTGAAACGAAAGTTTTTATTTCTACATTTGCTGGTGCTGCTGCTGCTGCTTCTTTCCCCTTATATATATATATCTTTCTTTCACTAGTCGATCCATTTTCAAATTTGTTGCTAAGCAAACTGTGTAAAAAGCGTTATTGATGCATATATTTTTAAAGTTGCTTATGCGCAATACAAATGTACAGCCACAAAAGATTAGAAACAACATGAAAACCAAAATCAAATTAATTCGCCTCTTATATAAACCGCATTCGTATTGTATAGCAAATAAATCATTAAAAAAACTGAATTGATATGAAATAGAAAAACCCATTGGCATTTTGTGTACAAAGCGAGAAAAAAACTGCGAAAAAAACCATAAAAAATTGCCAACTTTTTACAAATTCCTATATGCAAGAGTTTTGTGCGCTTTTTTGCTCTTTGATTTTAACCAAGAGCCTTTGCTGCTTCTCTTAAATTATTTGCTTTTAGCTTTGCTTATAGCGTGCTTATATTTTGGTTTCAACTTGGTTTTTATTTAGTTTTGCCTTCTGTTTGTTAAGTATGCCACACCACGAATTATTGTTTAAGGGAAATCAGTTTGAGCAGCTTTTTAACGGGCTGTCTACGAAGATTCGAGATTTTGAGATGAGCTAATGCCACTGCTTAATCTCCCTAAAGTCCCCATCTATATGACATTCCTCAAACTATCTCACTTTATAAGGCTTTACCCTTTCCTGGGTGTTCCTGGTTAGCTCAAAACCATCAAATACCATATTTAAGAACATTAGGTCACTCTAGGAACACTCTGGACTAATATTTGTCTGCGCTTTAAGTTATTATAGCCCATTGTTTGCCCCTAAATTGCAGGATATTTCTTCAGTTTTACGCTTTATTTTATGTATGCGCCTGATTTTCCACCAAAATGACCAAACTGCTAGTGTTCGATGCTCATCCATGGCATATGGGTACATATAAGTATGCCAATCTGTACTTATGTGCGCCTATGTATATGCTATATGTATATGCTATGAAAACGATAACACTGTTTGCCGTTTTGATATCGCTCTATATCTGTCTGTCTTTTGTCTGAACTTTGACATTTTTGCCATTCGTTTTCCATTCGTATTTCGTATACTAATTACTTCCTTACTTACTTACTTACTTACGTTCTTTGCCACCGCCCACAATATAAAAATTACAACATTTGTTTATCGGTATTTCGTTCTTTTTCTTTCGCTTCTTACGATATATATCCGATATGTGTATCACGACATATATATCCATGCGTATGTATGTTAAATCTGCACCACGTTTGCCGCCCGCCACTCTGCAACTGCCACCGATCAACAACTACAATTCAACAACTCCAACTCCAACTCCAATCAAACGCCAACAACAACAATCAACAACAACAAATCACAAAAAAAAAAAAAAAAAAAAAAAAAACAATGTTTTTAGATACTGACGCAAGAGGATTGGAACGTCGTCCTGTTCAACGGAATGGAAAAGACAAGTCATTGGGCCGCATTGTACTTTGTGGCACTAATGACGTTCGGCAATTATGTGCTATTTAATTTATTGGTGGCCATTTTGGTTGAGGGATTCAGTTCAGAGGTAGAGTTTTGCCAACACCATTCCCTTGTCCCAAAAAAAACCTCAACAAACTAACTCTGGCCCTTTCGAAAAGATCTTTGGATCATCTTTGATTGGCTACAATTGCAAATATACCATCTACGATTATACGCATGCGACGCTTCAAATTTTGATAATGTAAATGTTTCTTGCAGAGAAATATCCGAGTAGGATTAGAGAATCAAATTTTAAGCATGAGTTCAGTTGGAACTCATTGTTACTTACAACTTCACAATACAGCAGTACAACTTAAGTTACTAAGATACAAAGATACTTTACTGTCCTTTTTTCTGCACTTCCTGAAAGATTACCCAAAGATTACCTGATAATTGAAAGTACTTCATCAGCTTGGGGCAACTTAGAACCATAATATGAAGCATCGTGTGCGTCGCGACCCCCATCCCCATGGCCTGTGCCTCCATTTCCCGCCCCTTTCTCCATCGGATGCAATCCGCCGGAAGTGCCAGCCGATCCAGGCATCGAGCACCATCGAGCAAGTGGGTCAATCGATGCTCGATGACCCCCAATGCCAACACCCCGTACCCATGCCGAAATCCCCGCCGGTTGACGAGAAAGTCTAATTTTGAAATTTTGATTCCCTCAGCGAAATGAACGTCGCGAGCGCGAACAGCGCGAGTTGGTTAAGAAACTGCGTGAGGAGACGCTAGCCGAGAACTACAGCGATGGTATGTACGATGAGTCGCGGAGCGAGGCGGACTCCTCGACCACCAATGATAGTTACTACGAGGTGCGCAACCGCTGGCGATCGGCGGAGGATGTGCGCAAGGTAAGTGAGCTCGAGCGGATCACGGATCAAGGTCCCTGACCAGGATCCCCGACTGACCAGGTGTGATTGAGTCGAAAACAAAAAAAAAAAAAAAAGAAAGAAAATAACAAAAAGCTAAAAGAAACCTAGAGCGTATGATAGTTGCATGCTGCATGCGAGTGTATGTCCGTTTGTTTGAGTGGCACGAGTTGAATCCACGGTTCGTAATCCCCCGCAGCTACAGGACTCCGCGGAGCTGATCATCGAGGCCAAGAGCAACATGCACCGCCAGCGCCTGCTGCAGCCCACCCACGACTACCAGATCAACGAGCTGCCCGCCTCGTCTGCCGCTCCCTCCGCCTCTGGCACCTCTGGCGCCTCCGCATCTGGCGAGCGGGAGAGGGACAGGGACAGGGACAGGGACCGCGACAGAGACAGAGACAGAGATAGGGATAGGGAGCGGGACAGAGAGGCGGGCGGCGGCAAGGAGGAGGGGGCGCAGCACACCAAGCCGCGCGGCGGCCTCAAAAAGGTAAGAGCACCACATGGAGCAAGCCTCGCAGACAAACATGACAAACACTTGACACCGCCTGCACCCCGTCGCACACAGACATACTCCATCAAGGAGCGGCGCAGCGAGGCGCCACGCCTCTCCAAGATCCGGCTCGCCCGGGATCCGCCCATCATCACGACAACGGCGGCCACGCCGCAGGACTCGCCCAGCACCACCTTGGAGCCGGGCATGAGCTTCCGCCAGTGGGGCGACATGGAGGTGAGTGCAGGACTACATTCTAGTCCCAGGCGGAGCTCCCACTTGACACTACCTACATTCAACCCATAACTACCATCCGCAGCCACCCAGTCCGCCCTCCCCATCGCTTTTGCGACCGCCGAACATCTTTACCGGCGGACAGCGGAGTCTGGACGAGGGCATACCCTCCATCGATCTCATCCCGCCCTCGCCGGTGCTCTCCCACAAGCCCCTGAACATCCTCAATGCCAGCCAGCTGGGCGTGGGCGTCGGCGTCGGCGTGGGCGTGGGCGTGGGCGTGGGCGTGGCCGTGGGCATGGGGATGGGCATGGGAGGAGGTGTCCCCAGCACCGCCGGCAGTTCGGGCAGCATGCACAGCGTGATCATCGACGACATTTCGAAGAGCTCCAGCTCGACAGCGGCGGCTACGCCCATTTACGTGCCCACCATCTCGTCCACAGCGGACGCGCAGAGCCAGAGTCACAGTCTGAACGATGTGAGCGTGGGCTCCAGTCCAGGAGTGGAGATTCCCGCCACGGGAGTGGGCAGGAGTGCCAACACGGGAGCCTCGACAAGTGGCAGCTCCTCCAGCGAGCGCCTGCCCTTGGCTCCACCTCCTCAGCAGGGGAGTTTCAAGCAGCGCTTAAGGCGCGGCAGCTCCAAAAAGCGACGTGCCTCTGCTTTGGCCCTGGCCACAGACGATCCGGCGCGGAGGACCCTGGATAACCAGGCTCGACGGACCCAGGACGAGGAGGAGGAGCAGCAGCAGCAGCAGTTGAATAATGGCGGCGACAACAGCTTACTGAGAAGCAGCAGTGCTGTGGTCAGTGGCTCCTCCTCGGGCACCAAGGAGACCAATCGCCTGAGTCCACAAAACTCCATACGAAGGCTATCCAATACACTGAGCATAGGCAGCGGACCGGTGGGCAGTCGTCGGGCATCGGCATGCATTTTCAACTCGCAGGTGTACCAGAATCTAAATCAGCCGCCCAAACTGCGCCCGGGATCGGGACAACGAAGGATGAGCTCCATCGAACTGGCATTCAGCAAGACTTCGCACCTGAATCTGCACAACCTGGAGGCCAACCGCAAGTCGCTCTCATACACGAACTCGAAGATGGACCTGGACAAGTGGAACAAGTCGTACGGCAATCTCAACGAGCCGGACAACATGCTGCAACAGTACATGGAGGCGCGGGACAAGCGCAAGAACTCCATCAGCCACTACAACCTGAAGAAGCGGCTCGAGGAGAAGGAGCTGCAGCAGCTGCAGCAGCTCCACCAGCAGCAGCTGCTCCAGCAACGGCAGGACTCCTTCTCCTCGACCACCCAGCAGCAGCAGTTGCAGCAGCTGCAGCAGCACCGCCTGTCCAAGGATCAGCAGCAGCTGGCGATGCAGCCACATTCCATGGTGCCAGGAGGCGGCGAGCGCTACTCCAAGCTCAAGATGCTCATCGAGCAGCTGACGCCCAAGCACTTTACCACCGAGCGCGAGGACTACTCGCTCTACATATTCCCGGAGAACAACAGGTAATCTATGTTACTGATTGATGGGTTTCTTCTTTTTGTTTGCTTGTTTGTGAACAGTAGGTTCATAAAACCATCAAGCTGTCAAGCCTTGGCAGTGCTCATTTAATTGGCAAGTTCTTGAGTGGAGCAAAACCAGCTTTCAAATCAACTCCCATTCGCCGACTTAACCATCTTTTTTCCGCACTCGTTTTACCGAGCGGAAAATTCAATTTCAACTTTGTCTGCCGCAAGTTGCATTTCACGTATTTGCATTTCGACGCTCTCCGTTTTGCAGGTTCCGGCAAATCTGTACGTGGTTTGTCAACCAAAAGTGGTTCGACAACGTGGTCCTGCTGTTCATCGCGCTCAACTGCATCACCCTGGCCATGGAAAGACCAAACATCCCTCCAAGCAGCACCGAAAGATTGTTCCTGGCAACAGCCAACTACGTGTTCACCGTCGTCTTCACCGTCGAAATGTTCATCAAGGTCAGTAGGATGCATTGCACACAATATGATGCACTATGTACTTATAAATATGATTGAACAACAGGTGGTGGCTACGGGAATGTTTTACGGCCACGACGCCTACTTTACGTCCGGCTGGAATATCATGGACGGATCTTTGGTTACCATTTCCATAATTGATTTGTTAATGTCCCTGATTAGCGAATCGAGTCCGAGGATATTTGGGATTTTAAGGGTAAGTACGGGCTCGCGGCCCTTGGACACTTTGCTATCCGAAAGCAGCAGCAGTAGCCAGCAGTCCTCAGTCGACCAGAAAACCAGAAAACCAGAAAACCAGTAAACCAGAAAACCTGACAACCAGAAAAACAAGCCAATCTCAAGCGATTAACAACAAGCAGACCAAGATCAACCAGAACAGCTATTACCAAGAACCACGCCCAGAACCGACCACGCCCATTTACTTGGCTGCTGGGCTGCGAACTCGGATCAGAAAAGCTACCGCTAATCGCTAATCGCAAATCGCAATTTATAGCTAAGCTAATGCTAATGCTAATGCTCGAAATCCCCAATCAAATTCGCTCGCTATATCGCCTCGAACACATAGCTCTGTCTCTGTTTCTCTGCTGATTGGCTATCTCTGTCTTTTATGTGCTCTTCTTTTTCTTGCGCACACCCGCACACTCTTACACACACACACATCTACAAACCTAAAAACACACACACGCACACGATTCAAAATTCTTTAATGAAACATTATCTTAAATCTCTTCAATTTTGGGTTCACCTACTACTTACACACATCTCGTGTCTATCTCTATATAAAAAATTGTGTATATAATACCTATACATATATATTGTATATCTCTATGAAAACTTCAGGTAAATTTCCGCTGCTATATGCGTTAATCAGCAAGAAATCGAATTTGTTTTCACCATTTATTATGTGTGTGTAGACCCCACTTCCCGAAATATACTCGTAACTTTAAAAAGTATCCCCCCCTAAAAAAACCCAAAGCAAACTAAAATTCAAGTAATCTGTTGACTCTGTTTTGTATTGTACATACTTGATTGTTCTCCCTTTCCTATCGACAACCCCCAAGTGAAAGGGTTATGACACTTGAAATGAAAAGGCCTTTAAGAGTTTATCATTTAAAACCAAAAACGCTATCTAAAACCCTTTCTCCGCTTTTCTCGGTTCTCTTCGAGTTGCCTATTCCATTAAGTTGATTCATTCATAAGGTCAGTAGTAGTGTCAGTTGGTAGTGTCATACCCCTATTCAAAAAGCCACCATTCCATTCCATTCCACTCCATGCCACTCCAATCGAATCGAAACGAACATCTCCTACAACATCTAGCTCGTTGTACTATTACATATCCATTTCCGTTTCCGCCTTGCTTTGTTGTTCAAGCAGTGTTGGCACTTATGTATTATTTTTGGGGCACTGCTGCCCCATTTGTTCGACATTTTCCAAAATAACTCCATTAGTTACAGCACACCAGTGGTTTTAGTTTTACAAGTTACAATTCGCATAACATTCAAGTGAAAAATGAAGTGATGAATATAATACAATTTGACATGGCAATTATAAAAATGCACTATTTATTGGGTTGCTTCTTGTATTACTCATATTATATTTTGTGTAATTGTGTTGGTGTAATTTTGAACAATGGCGAAATTACACTGGTGTGCTTTGTTGCTACTTCCATTTGTACATGTATATGTTGGCTTCATACTGAGTAAATATGTATATTCTATATGGTTTTCATGCTTTTACCTCGTGTGTGGCGCCGCCTGGCGTCCGCTGGCGGCAGCCGGCGAAGCAAGCAGTGCCTCGCAAGAGGCGCCGCCGATAAAGCAGTGTAGCCGATGCACCAACCACAACCACTCTTCTCTTCTCGCCCCTTTCCTTCTGTTCTGTTCTCGCCCGGAATCCAATGTCCTTGCAGGTGTTTCGACTACTCCGATCCTTGCGGCCGCTGCGGGTGATCAACCGAGCCCCGGGTCTGAAACTAGTCGTGCAAACGCTCTTATCGTCCCTGCGTCCCATCGGCAACATCGTGCTGATCTGCTGCACCTTCTTCATCATCTTCGGCATCCTGGGCGTTCAGCTCTTCAAGGGCACCTTCTACTACTGCGAGGGAGAGAACATCAAGGGCGTGCGGAACGCGGACGAGTGCCGCAGGATTCCCGGCAACGTGTGGACCAACCGCAAGTACAACTTCGACGATCTGGGCAAGGCCCTGATGTCCCTGTTCGTTCTGAGTTCCCGCGACGGCTGGGTGAACATCATGTACACCGGCCTGGATGCGGTGGGCGTCGACCAGCAGCCCATCGTGAACTACAACGAGTGGCGTCTGCTGTACTTCATCGCCTTCATCCTGCTGGTGGGTTTCTTTGTGCTGAACATGTTCGTCGGCGTGGTGGTGGAGAACTTCCATCGGTGTCGCGAGGAGCAGGAGAAGGAGGAGAAGATCCGGCGGGCGGCGAAGCGGGCTCTGCAGATGGAGAAGAAGCGCCGCCGGATGCACGAGCCACCCTACTACACCAACTACTCACCCACCCGGATGTTCGTGCACAATGTGGTGACCTCCAAGTACTTTGACCTGGCCATTGCCGCCGTCATCGGCCTAAACGTGGTCACCATGGCCATGGAGTACTACAAGATGCCATCCGGACTCAAGTACGCCCTGAAGATCTTCAACTACTTCTTCACGGCGGTCTTCATCCTGGAGGCCAACATGAAGCTGGTCGCCCTGGGGTGGAAGCTCTATCTGAAGGACCGCTGGAACCAGCTGGACGTGGGCATTGTCATCCTCTCGATCGTGGGCATTGTGCTGGAGGAGCTGGAGACGAACACGCACCAGATCATACCCATCAATCCGACAATCATACGGGTGATGAGGGTACTGCGTATTGCCAGAGTGCTGAAGCTCCTGAAGATGGCCAATGGGATCAGGGCACTCCTGGACACCGTGATGCAGGCCCTGCCCCAGGTGGGCAACCTGGGCCTACTGTTCTTCCTGCTATTCTTCATATTCGCGGCATTGGGCGTGGAGCTGTTCGGGCGACTCGAGTGCTCCGACGAGATTCCCTGCCAGGGATTGGGCGAGCACGCGCACTTCGCCAACTTTGGCATGGCTTTCCTCACATTGTTTCGCGTAGCGACTGGCGACAATTGGAACGGCATCATGAAGGATACGCTGAGGGATAATTGCGATGACGCGGCCGATTGCGTCCGCAATTGCTGCGTCAGCTCAGTTATTGCTCCCATATTCTTTGTGATATTCGTGCTAATGGCGCAATTCGTTTTGGTGAACGTCGTCGTGGCTGTACTGATGAAACACCTCGAGGAGAGCCACAAGCAAATGGAGGACGAGCTCGACATGGAGGTGGAGCTCGAGCGTGAGCTGGTGCGCGAGCAGGAGTTCGCCCAAGAGCAAAAGCTGTGCCAGCAGCTGGCGGAGGCGCAATCGAAGGCGGCCGCTCCCCCGCGCCCCCTGGCCAAGGTCAAGTCGCTCCCAAAGAACTTCATCTACAGCACCCCATCGCTGGACAAGAAGTTCCCAGCGGTGTCGGGCATCAACAATCCCAACTCCAGTCTAACCAGCTCGGCGGCCACCAATCTCAACCAGATGGCGTCGGCGGGAAGCGGGGGTGCGGCACCGGGAGCGGTACCGGCCGGATCGGGAGCTGGACCACGGAGGCAGACCGTGCAGTACTTCCAGCAGCCACCACAGTCCATGCTCGGCGGCCTGAGTCTGGCCGAGATGGGCGGCACGCTGACGCCTCAGGCACTCGGTGCCCGATTGGGCGAACCCTTCGGCGGCGGAGGAGGAGGCAAATCTGGGCCACGACGCCAATCCTACTGGGTAAGTTGATGAGTTTGTTCGCTAGACCTGCACTTAGCTGTATTCTCGTTTCATAAATGCAGCAAATCAATCCAATCCGTAAGCGCGGCGTGCTGTCCAAGGAGCGCTCACTGGACGAGCAGGCCATCCGTCGACGGAATCTGGAGGCCAAGCGCACCAGCTGCGACTCGCTCCCATGGGGCGGAGATGCCCTCGACTGCCGTAGGGGCACGATCTTCGAGAGCCTCGAGTCCGATGGGGGAGGTGTTGGGGGTGGTGGTAGTGGTGGCGGTGGTTTAGGAGGAGAAGCAGGCGGAGGAGTTTCCTACGATTTACGGAGCGTGCGCAGCGCGGATGTCGGCCATTCGGAGACCGATGGGGACGTGTCCCTGTCGGTGGTCAGTGCGCTGGTGCCCTCCGTAACGACGCCACTGCCCCCACCCCTGTCCTTGCCCATTGTCACGCCCACGTCAACGCCCACGCCCACGCCCTTGCAATTGCCAATGCAGATGCAGATGCCGATGCCGATGGCATTGCCCATGCCGTTGGCACACCCTCCACCACGGAGACCCTTTGGATGGTCGCAGTCCGTGGACCAAGGATGCTTGCGCAGCAACTTGCTCCTCTCCGTTCCCAGATCCATGCCGCCGCGCAGTCGCAGTGGCAGCACCAAGCAACTGTTCAAGCAGCAGGCCCTGGACGAGGATGCCGACATGGATGAGAACTCGCTGCTGCTGCCAACAGCAGCTGGTGGCAGATCAGGACCAGGATCGGTGGCAGTCATAGCCTCGAGCTCGCTGGATCTGCCAGATCAGAGCGGCAGCTCCAAGCAGATCCTGCCGGACATCGCACTGGGGGTCAGTAAGTCCGATTCCTCGGACATTCTGCGCATCATCAGCGAACGGAGGCGCATGGATCAGCGGGAGCAGAGGGAGCCCGAGCAGGATCAGGACAACGAGGCGGAGGACAGGGACAGCGACTACAAGGAGCTGCTCCTGGTCAAGTCCCCCCAGTCCTCCATGGACTAAATGCAAAAACACACAAACACTCTGTAGATCGTTACATGTAGTTATCTCTAAATAGGGCCAGGCTTACAACAATAATGATTACTGTAGAGCTGACTAACAAGGATAATAGCTAGGATAACAGTTCGGAAATCCCCCGATTTCCAAACCTCTAATTTGGTCCACCTACAAGCGAAGGAGCTTACTGTTAACCTCTAGAACTCTATTTTCCATAATTCAAAAACCTGGCCGCCATTAATGAATACATTAGGGAATTTTCTAAAAACTATAACTATAGCATTAGGCTTTAGGCATAAAGATCGACGAGTGTGGCGAGGAAACAGAAATAACGATTATTCGATAGCTAATATACTATAGAGAATGCCGGATAAAGGATAAATGGTAAATGGCACACTCTTAGCCAAGAATATGGAGGAAATCCAGTAAAATAGAATTGAAAGCAACGTTAAGTAAACCAATGAAATGAAACGTAAAATTACAGCTAGTAAGCAAAATTGTCAACTGTTTTTAGTGCAATCCTACGGTTTTCATAACTTTAACAAGCAAAACTTATAAGAAGAACTCAGAACTAATAGATCGCCAGAGATCGGTGAAGATGAATAGCTAAGTTTCAAGTTGATTAGAGTGTTTTCCGTTTAAATGTAGCTGTCGAATACGAAGATTATCCAGGCGGGGATGGTGGATTATATACAAGTGTTATATGCGATTTACATATATACAGTTATATTACATTTACAGTTACTTATAGGGGATACTGCATTCGAAACAAAAATGATGGAAATTTGTGAACAAAGAATCATCAACTCTGTGATTAGCTCTTAAAGTTTAAACGTTTATATGAGAAGCCGTGCAGACACCAAAAACCAAAAACAAAACCAAAACCATAACCATAATCAAAACCAAAAACACAAACACACGCGATCTGTATATAGAAGGCCTGTATGTAAACATATGTATTTGAGTGTATTTTACGTAGCTAAGCCAAGGAACAAGAAACTAACGGAATGATACCGAAGCGAGCCATCTGAGCGAACCCATTGATAAGCAATAGAGAACTGTAGCTCTTAAGATCGTACCTAACCTACAAACCTACAAACTAATAAAGCTGCGTTGTTCCAGGGTGAAAAACGGATACGGAAAAGGGGAAAAACCATTTAAAGGAACCCACATAAGAACCTTGTGCAAACGAATTTACTTAGGTACTTAAACACACACACTCACACACCCACACACACCAAGACACGCCCCAAACAAATAGCTCGTACGATCCGGTCGACAATCTTCGCTAAATTTAAATACCCTACCCATGTCTGACGCTCTATCCCCCAGAGGCTTCCAAAACTTCTAGATCCCGCCCCCGGAAAAACAAGCAGACATCCGAAATACAGTGCCAACGCAGTAAGGGTACTCAAGATGTGTTTTTTTTTTTATATAAAGAATAATATAACTCTCAAGGTATCCAGTAATGAAGGCAACAGACGGCAGCGGGAACTATAAGAGGAACTTTAAAAAGTAGCATTTATAAAGAAAAAGAAAGAAAAACCAAGAGAAACGTAGTAGAAATTTAATGATTAATGTTTAATGACTATATATAGTGTATATATGGAACTATCAACGAATTACAATAGAGTATCAAGATATTTCTTCAGAAGGCATAACTAGAACAAGACAATGGAGCGAGGAACCGAGAAGAACACTAACTTAACACTGTCAATTTTTCAACATGGTCTAAGCTAATTTTTCAAGGAAAACCAATGATCTAAGAATGAAAACAATTTTACACTCTTTGTACACACTGTAAAAAACGAAGTGAAGGAGCTCTCCAGTTTAGATAAACTTTAAAATCAAACTTAGCAAACGATTCGGGTGCAAGCGAGCAGAAGAAGAAGCAACAAATTTAATTATACGATAATTTCATCTGTGCCTTTCTCTACGAATATATATATACATTTATACATATATATATATATATATAGCAAATGTATCAGATACTGTCTCTATCTCTTTCTACGCTCCCAATCCCTCTCTCGCACACTCACACACACACAATGAATATACCCTACTCAGCACACCACCACACCACCACACACCAACACGGACACCAAGCAAGCAGTGCTAAATGTAACGGTGATGGCAAGCAGTGCCTCGCGTAGCTGAAAATGCAACTCTGAAAACTATTTACGAGGCAGGAAGAAGGAATAATAACGAAAAACCAAAATAACTACTTAAGCTTACTAATAATTGAAAACCGAAAATACAGAAAAATGAACCTACAAATTCAAATTAAATTAAAGAAAAGCATCAAGTTTATAGGTTAATGCGCTAGTAGTTTTGAACTTTTTTTTTGTAATTTTTTAACGTAGCCGCTTTCAAGTAAACCAAATGAAACTATATACATACGTTTTTGGTTTTAGTTGTGTGTGTCTGTTTTTTTGTGCGAAGCGTAAAGCAACTATAAAGAGCGTTTCTTCTTGTTGATTAATAATTAGGTACACTGCTACAAAACATAAGTTAATTAAACAAGAAACAAAAAAACGAAAGCATAAAGAAAACCGAAAATAACCGGAAAACCAAAGCCAACAGCAAAATTAGAAAAAGTGAGTTAAATTTAAAATTATAGCCATAACGGCCAACGAAATGCAAACTAAGTAAATTTGCTTTTAGCTCCATGCAGGCAAAAGAGGAACCCACAAAAACCAAAAACCATTGATTCTTTGCAAAACTAAAATAAGCCAATTAAATGTGAAATTGTTTAAGAAGGCCATAAGAAACTAAGCACTATCCCCTGCTGCAAGGCCACCAACCGAAACTCTGTTAGACAAATAGCCAAAAAGCCAAGTTGTAATCATTTCGTTGCGTGACCTTTGCGTATAATTTGAATGGTTCGATTGGTTCCACTAGAGATACGTACATACATATATACTGAGAACACATACTATGTAAAGCAGCGAAACAAAACCAAAAAAAAAACCTAAGAAAACGAGCATTATAAATTAAAGAGAATTTGAAAAGAATGTATGCCCCCATGTTTTTGGATGTGAATTAAGCTGACTCCTGACGAACTTTCCCTACAACAAAACTTGTGGGTTTCCGTACTTGGTTCTTTATTCACGAATATAATGCCGGTAAGGAGAGGTGTGTGAAAAGTGCGGATTCGGGGCTTTTGTGGGCTACTCGGATAGCGCACTCGTGTACAGCAACAAACACACTATAATTCTATGTAGCCAGGTATAAAGTACATATGCAATGCAGCGCCATAACGAACAGAATATAAAACGGGGGACTACACAACAAATTGGAACAGCACAGATCAAACTGGTCCTCGATCTCATCGCCCTGTTGCGTTGCTGTTGCGTTGCAGTTGCGTTGCAGTTGCGTTGCAGTTGCGTTGCAGATGCGTTGCTCTTGCATTGCTGTTGCGTTGCTGTTGCATTGCTGTTGCATTGCTGTTGCGTTGCTGTTGCATTGCTGTTGCGTTGCTGTTGCGTTGCTGTTGCATTGCGGTTGCGTTGCTGTTGCATTGCTGTTGCGTTGCGCTGCTGTTGCGTTGCAATTGCGTTGCAGTTGCATTGCTGTTGCATTGCTGTTGCGTTGCTGTTGCATTGCTGTTGCGTTGCTGTTGCGTTGCTGTTGCCGCAGGTGATCTACAGTACTCGTATGGTGTATATCGATATGTATATACTATAGTATGCGATATAAATATATAAAAAAAAAAGCATCTACGACCGCGGCGGACTACCACACGCTGCACTTTTTCGCCGGATTCATGGTGCTGCCCAGTGGGCATTTGTAGGCGCTGGCAAAGTCGCGCGAATTCGAAAGTGGCCCCAGGACACGAACAAATCCTGGCGAGTGGACCGCGGATCGGATTTTGGTCAGAGCGTCCTCCGGCCGCATCGATCCGCACCAGATTTGGGCATAGTTGAGAAAGAACAACTGGTCGTGGGTCATGTTCAGGCCGGGCAGCAGCTGCTCCCGCCCATGTAGGGTCTCCCACTTCTTGTAGGCCTGAAAGGGCAGAACTCGGAGGGTTTAGGATTCGTTGACAATAGATGGACTTACCCGGAATGCCTGCTTGAGACCGCCGTTGTCGGCGATGTTTTCGCCCTGCGTCATCCGCCCGTCCATGAACATGTTCACCTCATTGATCTTGTAGCGCGAGTACTGATCGATGACGCACTGCGTCCGTTCGCGGAAGGCCTCGATGGTGGCATTGTTCCACCACTGCATCATATTGCCCTCCTTGTCGAACTGCCGGCCCTTGTCGTCGAATCCGTGGGTAATCTCGTGGCCAATGACCACTCCAATTCCGCCGTAATTCAGGGACTTGGGAAAGTGCTGGCTGTAGAACAGCGGCTGCAGGATGCCGGCAGGAAATACTAAGGTATGAAAATGCATGCAAGTGAGTAAGACGGATTGGCAGGTGAATGTCCTCCGACCCACCTATATCGTTTTTATTCGGGTTGTAGAAGGCATTCACCACCGCCGGTTCGGTGGTCCACTTCTCCTTGTCCACCGGCTGGCGAAGAAGTCGCAGCATCTTCTCCGACTCCCATTGCAGAATGCTAAGGACATTGTTGATGAAGTTGTCGGGCACGATGGTTAGCTGAGGAGGGATAACTAGAGATTGACGAAACTGTTGACCTGTACTGTATATACCCACATTCACGTACTCCTGCTCCAGCTCGGTGGCGTTGGTCAGCAGCTCCGGATAGCCGATCCGCTCGTTCATGGAGTCCGCCTTCTCCTTGGCCACCGCCCGCGTCTCGTTGTCCATCCAATCGTTCTCGGCCAGCAGTTCGTTGAAGGCCGCTCGTATGGTGTGGATCATCTCGAGGGCCACCTCCTTGCTCTCCTGATTGAAGTTGTCCCGGATGAAGAGGGCTCCCACGGCGACGCCCAACTTCTTGTTGGTCCACTCGACGCACTGCGACCAGCGTGTCCTCTCCGACTGGATGCCCATTAGGATCTTGCTGAACTCCACCCGCTCCCGCTGATACTCATCGATCATGTGTGACATCAAGGACATGACCAGGCGCCACAGCATGTAGTTGTGCACCACCCGGCGATCGGTGTGCGCCAGTATCTTGCCCATTTCGGTGAGATACTGCAGGCCGTACGTGACCACCGGCTCGTCCTCCTGCAGTGGAATCCCTGGTCCCAGGGCGGCCTGCAGATACTCCTGCCACTGCACCTCGGGCACCAGGTCCTGCAGCTCCGGCAGCAGCATCTTGCGATACACCAGGCTTGTGTCATGGCGATCCGCCTCCGGCAGCGACACATTCACCAGCTGCGTCTCGAAGAGCACCACCTTCTCCAGTTCCGCGGCGGCGGTGGCCGGATTCGCTCCCAGCAGCAACGCCACCTGCGTCATGTACCGATGGTAGGCCCTCCGGTCGTTGGCACTGCTCTCCTTCAGGTAGTAATCCCGCGAGGGCAGCGCATACTGCAGCTGGTCCATCTGCAGGATGTTCACCGAGCTGTTCTTGTCGTCGGCGCCCACGTACAGCTCGATCATCACCGGTTCGCTGTATTTCAGACGCAGCTGGCCCATCAGCCGCTCCACGGAGAGATCCGCCGGCGGACTCCAGTCCCGCTCGATGACCGGCCAGCCGCCCAGGGATTTCAGCACCTGCTTGAGTCGCCCCGTTCCGACCTTGCGGATTTGAGCTGGAAGGAAGGAACAGCAAGTAAGGTAAAGTCTTATTCTTATTTCTGAATGATAACTATATTATAGGATGCTTGGAAGTTGAGCGAAGGTAGTGGAGTTGACCCAATTAAGAGTTCAACTTACGTATATCCATGCAGCTCTTGAAGAAGGTTTTTGCCTTTATCGTGGCCTTGTTGTCGCGTTCATCTATGGGCTCCTCCAGAACTGCGCGCAGGATAACCTGCTGCTGATCGGACAGGACCTGCAGGCAATGGGGATGGACACTTAGCAACGCAGTCTTAGCAAATGTCGGAGCAATTACCTCAAACGTGCTGATGGAGCTGCGGTCCTCGGGAATGGGATGCATCTTGTTCCACGTGCCGCACGCGTACTGGAAAAAGTCCTCGCAGGGATCGGAGCTCAGGTCCATGCCCGAGAGCAGGGAGGCCGCTGGATTCAGATTTGGACAGTTTATTGTGCAGTAAGCAAGTGTACAGTGTGGTAAATCAAGCCCAAGCCGTTGGGAAACCCTTCAGCTGGAGTGCAATTAGTGCTTCACCCCGTGGAGGCCACAAACTTGGACCACAAATCACCAACGCAACTTTTACGATAAGCGATAAGTAGTTTTAGCCCGCAAAATCCCACTTTTCCGCGATGCAACTTTTCGGCCACACAAAAGTTGCGAGTGAATGCGGAACTAAACCAACGAGAAGGAGCGATTTCCCTGGTTCACTGGTTGCGCTGCCAATCCATAAATCAACGTCATTAAGCTGAATTTCATTATCTCGGAAAACTAAGTGCGGCACTCATTAGTGTGCCCCCCACTCTTCCAGATTCTTCCCACTTCTGGAAGCGTTCTTGATTTATGCTGTAGCTATGAGGCCAGAAGGACACTTGCTTGCCAGCGAAAATTGCATTCTGGGAATTCAAAAGTGTAAGTCGGGCACTTAAGCAATTTCCCTAATTCAACAGCTTAAATGATGGCAATCTGTCCGTTCCCTTTTCAAATCCTACAAGGTGTTATTATCTAGAGAACATAGTCCAACCGCTTCGATTGCTTCAATTAAGGAGCCCATTTGGGTTACCAACTGCGGCGAACCCCCAAAAAGTGTGCTAAGTGGAGCACTGGAATCGATGGCTCCGCCTGGTAATTGTGGCCATGTATATTTCAGGAAATGTCCTGCACCTGCACAAGTACAGTAGATCCATACACCCTTCCATCCAGCCATCCATCGAACCAGCCATCAATCTATCTATACACTTCTGTATCTGTGTATCTGCGGCATGCCAAGCAGTCAATCACCGTGGCAATTTCCTCGGCAAGTGACTTTGAGGTGTTTGGTTGCCCGCATTGCTTGACATAAGTGCATTTGGATTGGTTGAAGGTACATACACGTGGCTGAGCAGATGTTCTGGTCCCCACCGGCGGGCAAAATGAGCACCATACCCCATATACCATATCCCATATACCATATACCATATCCCATAGACCATATACCACAGACCATATTCCATAACCCATAGACCGCATCGCACAAGCCCTCCAAAGGGGCACTTAGCTATCTTAATGGCTGGTAAATAATTTACAACTCAAATAAAACCGCACATATTGGAAATATGCAATAAAAACCTTCGCCTTCCCCATCCTTCACTCCATTTGATTGGCTGTGGTGTAGTAGAGCTTCTTATGGATGGATTACTCCATCTCTTCCATTTCACTATAGATACCATACTCATATGGCTTATGGGGGCTTACAAATATATCTGGTTTCTACATAGGGCAGTTCCACTGTAGTCATTATGGGTATTGGATTATTGAAGCTATTTGCAATGCAATTTGATTGTTTCTACCTTCTAGAAATGAAACCTTCCAGAAAACCCCCAATATGCCAGCGATTTTTAATTGGATCTGAGCTTACCTGTTCTCACGCACTCCTGGGTCATGCAAATGTTATCCGGCCCCTCGTGGGCGGATCCCGAATCCTGGTCCCACCTGCCTTTCGGTCTGTCATCGTTGTCTGCAATTAAAGTTGGCGGATTTCAGTACAGCACACACGGCGTATGAGCAATTTGGTTTTATCAAGACAGCCAGCGATTCGCGGGCCACTCAGCTAAATTGAATTTGAATTTCTCATCAAACGAGGCTCCTTCTCCTCCCTCGCCTCCTGCCCCTCATCCAGATTCGGATCCCCCTTCGGCGCCTTCTTCCCAGTTGGCTTTATCAAATTAAAATAACGAAAGCCAAGCTCGTTGGCTGAATCCCCTCGAACCCGCCCACTGGCCATCGATTGCCGCCTGGACAGGACACATGTTGCATGTCGTCCTTGTCGAGGCTGTCAATAAAAATGGGATGTTCGGCGGTGGCAGGAGGAGCGGTAAGGGGTTAGGAAGGGTGGCGGCGCGTTGGAGATGGCAGCTCTAGTTATTAATTAAAGCGATTCAGCCATGCGAACCCACGTCCACCCAGCTAATACCATTTTGCCCGGCGTTAATAGGTTTAAGTGGACCAGTGGAAGGTTCCACTGTGTGGCAAGTGGCAACTGGCAACTGGTAAGTGGTAAGTGGCAAGTGGCAAGTGCCCAGCTGACCAGTTGCTCGGTTACTCGGGTTGAATGTCCAGGAGCTGCAGCAATTATGCTTCGGTGAGGGGAATTTCATTACAATAAGGACTAGAAGTGAAATCGGCGGGGAAAGGAAAGCAATCGATTTAGATAGCCATAAAATATTATCCCCCGGCTTATTCCCTTTAATGCTTCAATATTGAGAAATATCTATCTGAAATATCTGTGATTAATGGTTATTACAACCCTAAAAGCCATAGTAAAATGCTATGAGTATTACTGTGCTATTATTGTGAAGAAAATTCGGCGATCTTTAGTTGGTGCGCCATTCCAACGAACTTGGCGTCCGCTCGCTTAAAGCTCGAAAGGAGAAAATCGATGGGTCGAAAGGGAGTGGTGGAAATGGAAAAGTGAAAGGGTGGGAAAGCGGAAAGGCGGGAAGGCGGGAAAGCGGGAGAAAAATCCATAGTCAAGGCCAAAGGCCTACCACAAGTCGCTGTTGCCGATGGAAAATGTTGATGGCCATGATGAAGGTGAAGCCGATGATGATGATGCTGGGTATTTGCGGAGATGCCGCCAATGAGATATTTTTAAATGGCTTAAATGGGGAATAGGCTTTGATGGTGCCGCAGCCCGATGAATGAATTTTTGGCGCAAAGCATTGAAAACACGTCTTATCACGGTAAATATAAACAGGATAATGGACTGTGCAGTGGTGTGCGTGCGGCGCATAAGTGTGTGCATATTCAATTAGCCCAAGGAGTCAAGGAGTCCAAGGAGGAAGACGCCATCGATGGGAACGGCCGTTGAAAAATTCATAGACATCCCTAACCCAAGCGGATTGATTGCTTTTCGTTCGTTGTACTTATATACTTGTACTTGTTTTTTTTTCGGCTGCTCATGTATTTGGTTATTTCCCTCGGTTTTATTTATTTTTATTTTTTTTTTTGCTGTTTCCTGTAATCGAGGGAGCACATGAACATGTAAATTATGCCGGGACAGACATCCTTCCATGGAGCAGCCCGGCTCGCAGCTCCTGAATATTTCAGTTGCTTTGAATCGCATTATTCCATGTGCCAACGAGCAAATGCAGAAGGGCGTCGGGTCTAGAGCACCACCCAATAAAACCACCCGCCCGGCCGATAACACAAGATAAGAGCGGCAAGGGCAGGGAAGACAGTGTCCCTGGGTCTACAGGAAATAAAACATTCCAGTGTGTCATTAATAATAATTCCCTTTTATGCCTAATATTCCTGCACATCTTTGGCAGCAACAAGCTGAATAATCGAATTTTTCAGTTCGGTTTGTGCATGTTTGCCCCACTGTGGCGCACCACAAAAAGGCTGAATGGAGGAAGCGAGTGCCGTCATTGTTGTTCCTGCTCCCGCTGCTCGTTTGACATATTCTGTAATTGAATTTCAAACAAGGCGCATTACTACAGGCCAGGACGACCGAGGACAGGACAGAACGGAGATTACAACACCCCCGGCGGACCCACTGCCACACCCACAGCCACACACTGTGTATGTACAGCCGGGTCCACTGTACCAGTGTGCCACTGTACCAGTGCACCATTGTGGCAATGGCATCCTTCAGCCTGTTGCGCGCCATTCCCTGTGACACGGAAATTGAGTTTATGCTCCATTTGTTTGAGTCACCAGCGGCCAGGCGTTAAATTCAGTTAACATGCTTAGGTGGCTGGCCAAAAGGGTAGCGGCACTTGCCTGCTGAGTGACTGCTGACCCAGTTGCCGAGTTCCCAGCTCCTGCCAACAGGTGCCCACAGGTGCCAACAGGTGATCCCAGCACTCAGCACGTTTGCTGCAGGGAAAAGCAATGATTACTGCGCTCTCCCAAAGTGAATTATCTACGATTTCAAACAGTTACGAACTCAAACAGTTGGCCAAAACAATCTCAATTGCGCCATCTTGACAAGTGCCTATGTGTCCTGTACTAATATTTCGTGGCTTAAATATGGTTCCAATTTGAAACAAGGAAGTGTGATCATGAAAACAATAATCAAACACCAGCAGATGATAGCTTTCGATGGCGTGGTTATAAATCGAGGGACAATGGAACTCAAACTGGTAAGTAAGCTAAAAAATAGGGAAAGTTTTGGTCTAGGGCTAAGTAAACCTTGGTCTGGCGCAAGGAAAGGCCCATCCAAATGGTACTTATCCTCCATGTGGCTGCACCCTAGTTATGCGTCCAGTTTATTTTCGTATATTGCACACTTAGCTGCATTTTTATTTATACTCGTTTACGTATATATTTCATGTATTTCAGGGTTAACCTCACCTGGCTCCACGCGGTACAGATGGCACCGCTGATGGACGCTGGCAAAGTAGATGGCCAGTGCGCCGATGGCCGCTCCCAGGACGGTGAAGGCGATGGCCAGGACGAGCAGGCGGCGCCGCTGCTGCGACTCCTTGAGCAGCCAGTCGCTGTGGCTCCCGGTGCCCGCGGCTCCACCGGGACTCGCCTGCGCTGGATTCCCTCGCTGGATTCCCACGCCCCCACTGCCGTCGGGCGCCAGGAACACGACAGTGGGCAGCTTGTTCTGCTGCTGCTGCGGCTGCGTCTGCTGCTGCACCTGCGGCTGCCCCAGGAGTGGCGACACCACCGTGGCACTCAGCTCCTCCAGCGGCGCATTCGCCTGCAGGTAGCCGTTATTCAGCGGCTTCTCGGCGGCGGACGCTGTTGCCTCGTGTTGCTGCGCCATCTTCTTGATGGGGCGCCTGGTTTGTGGACCGCTGAGCGATCGGCGGACAGGTGAAGCGGTACAGCGGTACAGCGGTACAGCAGTACGGCGCTGCGACGGACGGCGTACCGTTCGCAGTTAGAGCGACAACGCCGGCGACGCTGGCAGCATCAGCCTCGATGGCACTGAAAGAAAAATCATCAAGGTGAGCCATTCGCTTGAAAGAACTTCCTACTGTAGTACACCTAGTACACCATTGGTGTCTTATATTTCTGCTGCCAGCTTCAGCTAGGAACATAATTTCTTATTTCTATACTATTTAAAATAGGGCATGTGGGCAGTTTCCCATGAACGAGTTTCGCACAAGTTTGCTTCACTGTAGGCGGGCTTTCGGCAATTTTATCAGACGTTTCAGAGCAGACCGGCCAACACCGGATTCAACCAGATCTTCCACAATGGACGCGTGGCCGATTGGCGCATCGAGGCTTCACTGTGCTCTCGGGTTGCTTAACAGGGGAGCGGATCGTTGGGGAATGCGCCGCAGAAGTTACATGTACCGGCTCTTGAAGCTTTGACAAGTAATGATCTTCTGATATCATCTCTTCGCACTCTTGTTGTTCTCGGTGTGGTTTTTAGTGCTATGTTGCCTTAGTAGGCAGTTGTTTTTGCTGTTGCTGTTGTGTTGCTACTGTCGTTGTTGCTGTGACATGCGATCAGGGCCAACGTGTTTTTCGCGCAATCGCAGCCGGCAACTCAGCAGGGGATGCAAAGCCAAACAGTCTGTGCCGCCGATTAAAGTAGTCATTGGCTAAGAGGGCCGCAGCGAAAGTGAACCTATTCACTGCCTAATTGGACACACTTTGGGTCACCTCTTTTGTGGCCTATCCTTAGTTGGCCAACTTTGCATTACCACCAGTTCTGACTCGTCTTTAACATTGCCTAAGTAAGCGGCTAGAATTACTTGTATTGAAATAAATAAAAGCTATAGGGTTTTACGTAAATTCTGTTGAATACGAGTATATGTATGTACTGCCAACAAGAAGTGGTCGAGATACAGTAGTTAGTCATCCGTTCGCTAATGAGCTGTTGTCTTTCATTCACGAATTGGTATTGGGCACATCCGACCTGACTTTCTAACCGATATCCACTGTGACTGGAGCTCGGATTAATGCGCGACAAATTTAGCTAAACTCGAAACTAGTTAACCCAGCTGCGAATGGGCAGCGACGTCGGCGGAGGCAGCGGACTATGTCGTCTATATGCCAAGTCTACCAGTCGATTTGATTTGATCGAATGGCTGATAGCTGATGGCTGATGGCTGATAGCTGATGGCTGATAGCTGATGGCTGATGACAGATCGCAGATCTAATGCCCATCGGAAACACAGCCAATACATCCACAATACCTAATATATTATACACAGAGTTCTCAGCTCGCGATCGTTTTCAAAATTGGGCGCTTCTGATGAGCCACGTGAAATGCGATACAGTCGCCGTATTTTCATATTAATTCTTTTCCACATGAAGAAGGGTAGCGGGGGTGGGGAGCGGAGAAGAAACTCGAACGGAGCGACATAAACTAAAATAAATTAATGCGACCGTCGTTAAATTCGCATCGTATTACCGCAGCTGGTTCCCAAGCTAAACAAAAACTTTGAAATATATAATCGCACGGGCAAAAAAATACAAAAAATATTGATACTTCTGACTGGCGTATTAGAAAAGGTTTAGCTGCCTGAAAATTGGCCTAATCGTTCAGGATCGTAGAAACATACTATAAAAAAAAGAACTTTTCAAACAATCACTGCACAGAAAAAAATAGCACAGTTCTGAAGTTGATCAATAGATACTGATAGAGAACTGATATCTGAAACATGTTGAGTCCGCAAAAAAAACTGAATCCCAAAGTTTCACACATTTCACTGATGGAATACCTTTGCGATATCAGTTCCGAAACACAGATCTTATGATCTTATTTCTTTCTGTGCACTTTCCGGTTTCTTGTTATATTTTTTGTTTAATATTTTAGTGCATTACTTTTTGTTGTGCTGCTGGCTTAGTGTTTTATTGTTATTGTTGTAGCGCTGGGGGTTACCGTTCTTGTTGTGTTTTATTTGCACTATTCGTATTATTTATGTCTTTTACGACTTTCACTGCCTTTGATTTGATTTGATTGTTTGTTTGTTGTTTTGAATTCGCCTGCGAGTGCGAGTGGGCGCGCGCTAGTGTTGCGCTCTCTCTCGGCCACTCACTCTCTGTTTTTAGTTAATATAAGTCTTCAACTTTTTTCTTCTTTTTTGTTTTTGTTTGTTTTTTGCCGCCAAGCGCGCGAGGCGACTTTTCGATGCCAACTGAGCGTTCTCAACGCGTGTCCTTAGCTTTTAAGCAGTCGCTGTCGCGGTCGCCGTCGCTGCCGGCGTCGCAGTCGACGCAGTCGCCAGCAGCACTAACAACAAATTCAACCAAGTATTGCCAATGGAAGTGACACCCCAGAGGTGTATATTAAATTAATGCCAACTTGGTTACAGGGCCCCAAAACGAATTAAATAATATGGGGCCAGATGTCGCTGCCAGTTCTCCGCACGAATTATGTATGGTCAAGCACTAAAGTTCCTCGAGAGATTTTGGCCAGCTAGTTGGGCTGGGCCAATGCCATTTAAGGTGGCCAGCATCTCATGGATTGACTGAAAACTTATCCCTAAACTTGTGCACTTCTACTAAGGAGTGGAAAATTGTTCAGGGTTTCAGATCTTTCAAACTATTTTTGGTGCATTTACATATGTATTAATATTCCCCTTTGCGAGGGGGTACCTCCCAGTCCATCGACTAGTTAGCCACCCTTTTGTGCTGCAGACTGGACTGGACCACCTGGCAGGTGGTGTCGCTCGCCTGTTTAGGGTAACTCACTACTATGGCAGTACTACAGGTACGTTCCATACACGAAGCGGTCTAATCGCGGTTGTGTTTTTTTTTGCATTTCTTTGCTCGTCTGTCTGCTCCAGCCAGCATGACGCTGGAACCGCCGGCAGTGGCCACGGAACCCAGAGAAGCCGGGGAACCAACCAAACCACTGGCCATTGGCGTTGACATTATCATTATCAGTGCGTGATCAACGCGCCGTTGTCAATGGGCTCCGGACAGAAATACTAATTACCACCCAGTCCGGTCCGATAAGTTTGGAGATTATGGAGCACTCCCCCTGCCCAAAACCAAAACCACAACCCACCACCGCCCCCAGTTCAAAACAAAACAAAAACAGCCATCTTTGTGTTATTACTTTGTGACACTTGTTTTTGGCCACTCGATGCGGCAGGTTTGATTGATGGGGTACCAGGGTACCGGTACCCAATCCACACACTCCCCAACGATCATATATGGCCAGCGGGGTGGAATGTCGCCCGGAATTCGGTGGGCAGTGCGGGGATTTCCCCGTCCCTTAACGTTACCAAGCCACCCACGCGCACCTACAACAAAGAAAAGCCATCATTTGATCGATTTTCGTTAGCTGATTGCTATCCTAGCTCACAAAAATAGATTGAAAGTTTCCAAACACGCGCTTTAAGCTCCAAAAAAAAAAAACCTACAAGAAATGGGCGCCCAACAGGTGGCGTGAATACACGGCGAGATAAGTGTTGTGCTTTCAATTTATCAACCAATTAAATTGGCACTATAAATAAACAGATTACACAAAGCTCTGGCCATTTATCGTAAATGTTTAAATTACTATGCACATGTCTGGTATCATTTTATTATTTTCCCAGGCCAATTACGCACTTGATAGTATCGATGTGATAAAAGGTTTCCAATTGAAAAGTAACATACATATTGAATGTGGCTAGTAGACATTGAGCATCCGCAATATTTTTATAAACATATATTTGCAAATGTAACTACTTATGAGACGCCTGATTTTTTCCAGTGCAGTAGCGTGATTTGCTACCACAAATAAAAGTCGCGCACTTCCAATGTTCCCGCTCCTGCTCCGGCTCCCATTCACAAATCACCAAAAGGACAACGACTCCGAGTTACCGGTTACCTGGAACTTTAGTTTTGGCGCAAATCCTTTGGCATGTGCGTTTCAGCTTTTCCTTTTTTCACTACTGACATTGGCGGATTGTGACTCCTTCGGCGCCATATGGCAGCCAAAAAACCACGAGTGGAACCTCGATAAGCACAAATTCTACCGAAACTCTTTAGAACAAAAACTAAGTGGTCACACAATACGAGTTTAGGGATGTATTTATCTATTGCAATTTGAAATTCGAAGTTTCGCGTTTTATTCTGGACGGGAATTCCAAATTTGTTCCCTTGCCAACGCTTATTCCTTTTGCATGTTTGGCGTGCGACTAAACATATTTTTAATCGCTTAGTTTGCCGGGCCGGTTAAAACAGAGCTTTTTTAAGCAGAAAGCTCGATTGGGCGAACAGAACACTTGTTGAGCGGCAACGCGCTGACTTCTGCACCTGCAAAGCTAACTAAATTTATTATAAAATAGTTTCATAATAGCATCCTCGAATGGAAAATCCATTAAATACATTCATTTGCTGCTGTCAAAGGCGCTGTTCAAAAATACCGCCCATTAGCGGTTGAAACGGGTTTTTTTTGTGCCTGCCCTCTGTGTTGGGCTGCCAGATGATCTGACAGCCTTGCCACCATTCGCCAGTGGCACACTTGTCAAATTGTTTTTCTTTCGTGTTTATTATTTACTAGATTTATTTTGCGCTCGCATTTCGTTCTGTTTTCCATGTTTTAATCCCGTTTTTCGGAAAACCTCGACACCAATCTTGTGACAAGTTTTTCCGTTCCCCGGAAAGATGCTAAGCCAATTTTACTGTTTGTTTTTGTTGCTCCCCATCTACTTCTTCGTGGACATGACGTGGGCTGAGGAGGGGGACTGCCGTCGCCTTAACCGCGCAGATATCGAGGGCAGACTGTCCACAAAGACGCCGTACAGAGCGATCGCCAATTACGACGAAACGCCACCGAAATACGCCGGTTTGTATTTTTGTTGTTTTCTGTGTAACGCACCCACAGTGGGCACCCGCTTTGAAATACCAAACATATGTTGTGCCATGTGACAGTTAACTGAGCTCTCTTGGTACAGGGAACCCATAATCGTGTCATACTCTGTACCGCAAGGGCGACTTAATTATCGAAGGTATTTTCATTGATCATAAATGAGTGAATCGTACAACTAGTACACAGTTTACAACCTTCAGATTAAAAAGAAATGGAATTGTTATTATATTCTTACTCGTTTATCATTGCCGGTGCCCACTGCTCACATATGGCTATGAAACAGCTGATTTTTTTCGTTTACCCGTTTCACCCGACAAGGCTGCCACCCGACGCGAATTTGGTCCATCATCCGACACGGAACACGAAATCCCAGCGAATCCGTTATCCTGCAGGCGCAAAATCGCCTGTCAGAAATAAAGAAACGCATTCTGGATCAGCCGAAACCGCCGATCTGCAACGCTGAATTGAAAAAGTTGCGCCAATGGCACTGGATGCACCTGAATGCCACCGAAGATGAGAAACTACTAGTGGCCGAGGGTGAGGATGAGTTGATTGAGCTAGCGGAACGGATGCAGCGTCGATTTCCGAATCTTCTTCCCGAGTTGTACAATCCGGAGTGGTACTACTTCAAGTATACGGCGACCCAGAGGACACTGAAAAGCGCGGAAAGCTTCGCCACGGGTTTGTTTGGTCGTCATCGCATCCATACTGTACGATATCCGCCGCCTTTGCACGAGGATCCTGTTTTGCGGGTGAGCTGACCTTTAATGTTTCCTTACAATATAAGAAACGAGAAATTAAGTCAATGCGTTGAACTAAATTTTAATTGCGCGCCACATTTGAGTTCGCACAGATCTGGCAGCGCAGTGGCGTTACAGTAAGTCCATTTATCGATTATTATCGATATAATTAGTTGTAAACCGCTTGCTAGTGTGGCCGCAACGCGGCAATCGAAAAATCATCGATTTTTGTTCCAGCTCTATTTTCTGCGCAATTCTTTTCGTATAATATAATTCGATTAAACATAAATAAATAAACCTAAGCGCAACTAAATAAACCCATTAATGCGCTTCATCTTCCGCCGGAGATCGCTCGCGATAGTTGTACGGTTTTTATTTTGGCCCGCCCTCGACTCAATCGGCCCAGGCGGCGTGTTTTCCCCGAGTTCTTTTTAACCGTATTCGGGAAATGGGTCGCGATCCGTAGGCGGAAAACGTGGAGAAGAGGAACGAGGAAAAAAAGCAGAGAAGCGCGGAGGAGGCACAGGCGGTGCAGGAGGAGCGGAAAGTGCGAAAAGTGTTTGGGGTTATGTGCTAGAGTCCCCTCGGGGGGATTTTTAGCTGCTTGGATCCGCGACAGAGACGTAATCGCTCCGGGAAATCGCTCGCATTGCACTGCACCCTATTCTCAGCAAACGAAAAAAGAAAATAGTAATACAGCGAGAAACAAAAGAAGCAGAAAGCACGCAAAACATGACAAGTGCCGTACGCGTTAAGTCCGCCACTGCCGCAGTCGGCGTCGCAGTCGACGAAAGCAGCGGCAGCAGTAACGGCAGCATCGCGGATCAGGAGTTGTCTTCCGGTAAGGAGACCGACCTGCGCATCCTCATCCGTACGAGATACGAAAACTATACATTCGCTCGTTGGGACGATCCCATACTCGTGATAGTGGACCAACTGGAGCACATCGAGCGCTGTCAATCCTCCGCCTTGGAGAACCAGGTGGCCATCGGCCGGGAACGATCCCAGGACGACTCTCTGAACGACCTACGTGAGGTGGTTAACAACATAAGGCAGGACCACTCACTAATCCCAATCGTGAAGCACATCGAGCAAATATCCGACTTCCAAGCGTCTAACGGACAGGAACAGGCCTCCCTCGGTTGCTTGAGGGAGTTGATCAAGATTATTAGGAAGGAGTGGCCCCGGGACGACTTCATCCAATTGCGGACGAAGCGAATACAGAGCATACAGGCCCAGCCGCCCACGGAGAGCATATGCTTCGGCGAGCATCTCCGCGACGACAGGTGCCCGCTCTCCCTGCAGACTAAGCGGCACAAGGAACGCATCCAGGCCATGATGTACGAGCGACAGACGTGGCGTATCCGCGAGCGCATGAAGACGGCAAGCGTGGCCCTGGTTCTGTGCCTCAACATCGGCGTGGATCCGCCGGACGTGGTCAAGATCCAACCCTGCTCACGGCTAGAGTGCTGGATAGATCCCAGCTCGGTGTCCCCGCCCAAGGCCATGGAACTCATTGGGAGCAACCTGCAGATGCAGTACGAGCGCTGGCAGCCAAGGGCCAGGTATAAGAAGTGCAACGATCCCACCGTGGATGACGTTAAGAAGCTCTGCACCTCCCTACGCCGGAACGCCAAGGGGGAGCGCATACTCTTCCACTACAACGGACACGGAGTGCCCAAGCCCACAGCCAACGGAGAGATCTGGGTTTTCAACAAGACCTTCACACAATACATCCCCCTGAGCATATTCGAGCTTATCACGTGGATGTCAGCGCCCTCAATTTACGTGTATGACTGCTCCAACGCCGGGATCATCATCAATTCGTTTCAGCCATACGCTGAGCAGCACGAGAAAGAACTGGAGAAGGCGCTGGCCGCCGCCCAGCAGAGGGGCGGAGTCCAGCAGATGGTGGGCGGCTCAGGTGGTGCCGGCAATGTAGCCGCCAACCAGGTGCAGTTGCCCAACCAAATGGTCAGTTACAAGAACTGTATACACCTGGCCGCCTGTGCTGCCAATGAAATTCTGCCCATGAATGCGCAGCTGCCGGCGGATCTGTTTACCAGCTGTCTGACAACACCCATTAACATCGCGCTCAAGTGGTACGCCATGCAGGAGAAACTGGGCATGGTGCCGCGTATCCAGAGCGAACTGATCGATAAGATTCCAGGTAAGTTTACGCCTTTGCTCAGTCACGGACTTCTGGTAACCATTAAATTCCATCGCAGGCAAGGTCAACGACCGGCGCACCATGATGGGTGAGCTCAACTGGATCTTCACCGCCATTACGGACACGATAGCGTGGAACACACTTCCTCGCGAGCTTTTCCAGCGCCTGTTCCGCCAGGATCTGCTGGTGGCCAGCCTGTTCCGCAACTTCCTGTTGGCCGAGCGCATCCTGCGCAGCCACGACTGCACTCCAGTTTCCCTGCCCGCCCTACCGCCTTGCTATCGCCATCCGATGTGGAAGGCCTGGGATCTAGTGGTAGATCTGGCTCTACAGCAATTGCCGGAAATCCTGGATCACAATGCGCCGTACCGCCAGTTGCCGTTTTTCGAGCACCAACTCACGGCCTTCCAGGTTTGGCTAGACAGCGAATCGGAGTCGAGAACGCCACCGGAACAGCTGCCCATTGTGCTGCAGGTCCTACTGTCGCAGGTGCACCGCCTGAGGGCCCTAGAGCTGCTCGCACGCTTTCTGGATCTCGGTCCGTGGGCCGTTAATCTCGCCCTGGGCGTGGGCATCTTTCCATACGTGCTCAAGCTGCTGCAGAGTTCTACGCGCGAGCTGCGGCCTGTTTTGGTGTTCATTTGGGCCAAGATCCTGGCTGTGGATCCAAGCTGCCAGGTGGATCTGGTCAAAGAGTACAAGTACTTCCTCTCCGTGCTGCAGGACACCTCCGTTTCCAAGGAGCACCGCACACTCTCCGCCTTTGTACTGTCCTCCATAGTGCACAACTTCCTGCTGGGACAGACGAGCGCTCTTCAGGGTCCCCTTCTGTCCATTTGCCTGGAGCAGCTAAACGACGGAAGCTGGTTGCTGCGCCAGTGGCTAGCCATCTGCCTGGGCATGTTGTGGCAGAACTTCGAAAAGGCACGTTGGTCAGGAGCACGCGACCTGGCGCACGAGAAGCTGTACGTTCTGCTGCGGGACTCCATTCCGGAAGTGCGAGCCGCTGCCGTCTTCGCCTTGGGCACATTTATCAGCTCCGTGACGGATCGCAGCGAGGAGCAGGCCAATAACATCGATCGCATCATTGCCATTACCATGCTCGAGACCGTGGGCGAGGATATGTCGCCGCTAGTCCGCATGGAGTTGGCCGCCGCTCTGCAATGGATGGTAGTACTCTTTGAGTCACAATTCGTGGCCGTGTATCTAGCTGAGCACATGCGTGGTCACGTCTCCGCCGCCTCATTCGTGATGTGCCCCGATCCCCGGGAGCTTACATTATCCACGCACAGCCTGGAGCGTCATGTGACCATACGCAGGGGAGCCAGCTCCAGCTCCATATCTAACATGGGTGGTGCGTCAACCGGCTCGGGGACAGGATCATCCAGCAACCCCTTAGGTCGCTCGAAGAGTGGCTCTGCTAGTTCGGGAGGAAGAGGAGCAGCCGGAGCTGCGGGCGGTACTAACAGCATACCCTTCCAGTCAATCTTTACCAAACTGTGGATGGGCATCTTCAATCTGGCCCAGGATCCGTTTCCCCGTGTGGCGGCCATTGCCCAGGAGATTGTTGACCATGTGAGGGATACGGCACTGTGCCCCATCATGGCCGCCAAGGAAGCCACCATGGCCAATGCCTCGGAGAAGTGCAGTAGCCTAAGTGTGAGCCTCCCGCCCAGTCCAAATACGAGGGTTAATTACTTGGGTGGTGGCGGTGCACCAGGAGGAGCTGGAGCAACTGCAGAATCACCGCCCGTCGGACCAACTGCCTCGTCCGCCAGTCACTGGGCCCAAAAGCTACGGCTATCGGGCAGTGGAGCTTGCGTGGCTGCCGGAGAGCCTCAAACCATACTGCAGCGCAAGCTGCGCACCAGCTCCATCAACGATGAGACTGACAGCGGACCAGCGTACTCCAGAGGAGTGGCGGGCGCCGGAGCTGGTCTGGGACTGCCCAGCGGACCGAGGGAGAGCACCCATTCGGCGCGGAGCAGCGGCAGCGAGAGCAATCACTACTTGGAGCCGGGGCACAGCCTCACGCCCATTGTCCCTACCGATTTTATACCCTGGGCCATTTCCTATTTCACACGGCCGGGCAAGGAGCGCTACAGCAGCGCCGAGGGACCAGCAGAGGAGGGACGCCAGCGCTACCCAGTGGACCGAAACTCAGCGGAGCTGCGACGCAGAAGGTTGCGCTTCCTGAGGAATGAATTTGTGCGCCGACATGCCGGCCGCAAGCATCAGGAGCTGACCGATCCTTACGGCTTCGATGTGTGCGTGTGGAACCGGAAGACACAGTTCACGCCTTCAATCGTCAAGCTGCTGCCTTACGAGCCGCAGATTGCAGTGGCCTACAGGGAGAAGGTCCTGGTATACGACTTCCAGTACAATTCGGTACGCACATACGGCGCCGAGGCTCTCGGCGGCAACTCCACTGGCTCCAGTTCCGGTTACGGGTCAGGTTCCGGCTCATCTTCCTCGCTCAATGGCAGCACTCCGCGGAAGTCGGGCGCACACCCAAGTGGAGGAGGAAGTGGATTTTCCGCCGCCCCCTTTGCCCGCGTTAGTAGCATCGAGTTTATCAATGCCCAGGATATGGCGCTCAACCTGGTTGCACACGAAGACGGAGTGGTGCGCGTCTGGCAATCCCCGCCGCCGGCCAGCTCGGCCACCTCCGAGGATACCCCGAGCAAGGCCCGATTGGTGACTGCGTGGACAGCACTGGGTCAGGTTAACCAACACAATCACCGCCAGCGCAGCGTGGCTTCCGGCGGCAGCATTGGCAAAGGTGCGGACGCATCGGGACTGTCGAGCGGTGCAATTGGATCCGGAGGGATTGTGACCGCATGGCAGCAGTGCAGCCAGCATCTTGTGATAGGCGGCGGTGGCTGCCGATTTATCCGCATTTGGGACGTAGAAAGAGAACTGAAACTGGCAGATATTCCATTGGGCCGCAGCGAAACCTGCGCCCGGGTGCTATCACCCTACCTGCCCAATATGCGTTCCGATGTGATCCTCGCCGGCTGCGACGACGGCAGTGTGAGACTGTTTGACAAGCGATGTTCGCCGCAGGACGCTCGCATCTCCGTTTACCGGCGCCACAGTGCCCCCATTCTTCATGCCAGCCTGCGGGCAAACGTACCGGTGCTGGTCTCCGGCTGCACCGAAGGTCGGATCAGTGTGGCGGACATGCGGTCCAGCCAGTCCTCCATCAGCCTCAACGACGTAGTGCACGAGTGGGACGCCGGTGGCGATGTGACGGCCATAACCAGCCACCAGCTAGGAGACACGGTGGCCTGCGGCAATGCCTCAAAGATTGTGATCTACTCGCTGGACGGACGACAGCAGAAGGTGTTGCGGACGAACGAGGGTTTCATTGGGCCCAAGATCGGTCACCCCACGTGGCTGTATTTTCACCCATACAAAGTGCAGCTGGCGGTGGGCTTCGTGGACAATATGGTGGCCATATACAGCCCCACCCCAGGTAGAAAAAAATGTGAACAATGAAAGTGAGAAGACTGTAGTTTCTTCTATACGAAAATATCAAGAATGTCAAGACCCAGAAAATATTTGTATTTGTTAGTAATAGTGAGCCTAGTGATAACCCAGCGCCTTATTCCATTAACATTTATATTCATGTGTCTTTGCAGTTCTATAAGGGCTGTGGCAAGTGGAAAACTGACGTCGATAAGAATCCCGAAACCTTGGTCAACGCACGCAGGTTCCTTGCGGAGCCGCAGATGCAGTCAGCAGTGCAGCATGTACGGAGCAGCACCCGGCTACCGGATCTTCAGCCGGAGGACGTTCAGCTTATGTATACGGTGTGCGCTTTCGAAACGGCCTGGCATCGCCCGCGTCGCAACTCTGGCTCGATGCCAGATTCGTCATACGAATCCGTGTGGTGTAACTTCTTCGACGTGGCCGCATTGGAGGCGCTGGAGTTCTTTGAGGATCTGGAGTACTATTGGAACGATGGCTACGGCTATGAACTGACTCATCGCATTGCCTGTCCGGCAATCGCAGATATGTTTGCGGCCATTAGGTGAGTTCGCCTCCAAGCTGGCAAAACTGTATATATAAGAGGACTTTTCAGTAAAAACATCAAACATCTTGATCTTGATATTTGAGGCATCTACGGCAAACAAGTCTAGAACGCTAATTCTAGCCGTATCCGGTTTTTTATATATATGTACATAGTTTAATCTGCATCACTTTTCGTTCTCAACTTATCTTCCAGATTAGGAATATTTTGTTTTAATTCGTTTAGCATCTTTTGTTAATATTAAATTAAAATATTTAAATGTATATTACAGCTCCTCTGAGGAGAAACGGCCGCGACGGGCCAACGCCACGTTGTACTTTACGCACTCGGGTACGCTTCTCAAATTGCTGGCCCACCTGGGATTGGCCCGGGATAGGAAGCCGCTGACGCACAAACACTTTGCAAGCGAGCGTCTTTGGCGCACAAGCCAGATCGACGCGTTCGCGACCAACTTGGCCTTCCTACGTTACGAGTAAGTTGTGCTAGATATGTAGGCCTGATGTAAGACATCTAATAGCTAATCCTCCCCTGCAGTTGCGACAAGGAGAAGCCGCAAGTCCTGGTGCTGCATCAGGAGCGAGTGGTGCGCCTGCCCGGCTGCCCGCAGGACAAGGATCTCTGTCCGCTGGCCACGCTGCGTCGCCTTTACGCCAAGAGCGTGGACCACTGCGACCGCGAGGAGATGTGCCGAGTGAAGGCCAACTAAGGCGCACAATCGGAATGGCGCTGCTGATGCTGAAGGATCGTTGTTTTGTGGCTCTGCTGCCCTGCCACTGAATGACCACGGGAACGGAGATTCGTCGGAAAGTTTAGGATACAACTGATATAAAGATAAAGTTAGGAATGGAAAGATGCGAAGGAACTGGAGTTAAGCGATTATCAGAATAGGACTAGTTTTGTAAGAGATGAGCGGAACCGGAGAGTTATGTGTTGACCAAGTGGCGAGTCGAATTCTGTGTGTTTTGTATGCCTTATTAATCAATGTGGACTATCCACTCCAATGCAAGAGAATTTTGAACAGGAGTGCACGAGACAGAGCGAGATAGAGAGTAGAGAGAGAAAGGGAGAGGGAGTAGGAGAGGCTAGTCCGTGTCATGTTTTATGGACTTCAGTCTATATACCCCGGATGGCTCTGCAAACGCTGTAAAGATCACGATTTATCTTGGGTTACTATTTTTTTTGTTATTCGGTTAATCATGCTATACCCATAGCCTCATCCTTATCCCGTAGCCATGTGGCAACGCATACTGTACATATATAAATACCTGATGTATAAGATAATTAACTATAGTTATATTTACCCAACACACCACACATATATACATAAACACAATCGTAGTTGTATGCCTCTATTGTAATCGATCCTTTGCCCCCAAAAGAAAACGTTCGTTGTGCTAACTTGTGTTATATACCTATAAACGAGACAGGATATATATTTGATAAGGCAAGAATGTGGAACACACGTTGGGTTCATCCATTAATTGTTCAGCGGAGTGGGAGACCCACACACTTTGTACATAGCACTTACGACTTTAATCACTTTTGTCTAATTTTGTTTGTCCTATCGAAAGCCCAACAACAAAAGCAACCGCAGTAACAACAAATAAACTAACGAAAATTCTAGTTTAAAGCTTAACTGGCTTGGACTTTTCAATTTGTTTAAGCTGAAAATAAAGAAAACTGAAAATCAATACGCACCTGTGGTCGCATGAGTTGGCTTTTTAGCAGGCTTTTAAATAGTTTCTTCGATTTTTCACCCATTGCTTTTATTTTTATGGGTGCAAACTTCCCGTATTTGCTCAACGTGCTGCCCTCCTAGTGTTTACAGCCAGCTAATTTGTGTTGCCGGTCGAGAGGGCCACATATACTACGTATATTCCACCCGAGTCAGCGGAACAAAGGCCATCTCTGGCCACATCCCGAGACGTGGGCGTGTTAATGGAGGTTACGACAGATGTAACCTGAACTTCAGCTGTAGCTACCGATCGCAGCGCAGCGATTGACGCAGCGAATCAAGTGGGATTATTCGAATGGCACTAGGTACCTGGTCTGAGTTTGTTTGCCCATTTGGGCCGCGCTAAGAGGAAGCATCTGATTTCTGGCTAAAATAAGAGCTCAAGTTCAGTTCGCAGTGCTATAAGATATTAAACTATAGGGACGTAATGTTACCTTGAGTATAAAATTGTTTAAATAGTTATAAGCCATATTTGGAATTCTAGCAGACGAAGATCCTATTGCAAAACTGTATCTAATCGTATATATTTTTGCATAGCGGAAAACCGGATTTTCCCATTTATTAGTTATACATGTATACTTGCAGCCACCTAATTATCGTTAATTGGGCATATGCAAGCATTGAATTTTCTTATAATATTCTGTGCTTAATTCTGGCGAAGTAATAATTAGCATCTAATTCTAGGTGCAGCTACTTCGGTTTTTGCTTTAATGAATGCTCATTATCTAGCTTGCCTTTTGTTCTTTCATAATCTTTTATAAGAAATTGAAAATATGATGAGTGAACTATCTTAAAGGTGTCGAATATATTCTCAAAGGTTCATGTATGCCCGGAGTTACCCAAAGTAGCTAGAAAGGCACCTGATACTTGCGCCTTTCGTCACGTCCATCCCGATGGATCTGGTATACCCCTATGCTCTATGGTATCCAATACTTGTGGTGGCGGCGGTGATGGGCGGAATGGACTGGGACCGGGACCGGGACCGGCAACAGGTTCAACCCTTAGCCAGCGGAGCTTTTCTGGCCAAAAGCTGCGAGGACGTCAGCTGAGAGCGGCGAGCGCGGGAGCTGCGCAGGCGTTGACTGCGACCGCGACCGCGACGGAGGCGGCGGCGGCGACTGAGGCTGCGGCGGACTTTCCGCCAGCGGACGGATTTGGATTTGGCCAAAAAGGCGATTCAGTCTCAGTGCGCTGTTGTCGCTGCGGTAGGTGCTTCGCTAGCACGTTTTTTTTGTTTTGTGCATTTTGGCTTGGTTTTTGGTCTAGAGCATTTTCGAATGAAACAACACCATTTTGCTGGCCGTTTTCCTCGTTTTTGTTTCGTGTGCCTGTTCCTGTAATTTAATAATGTGCGGTGTGTGCGCGTGCGAGTGGTTTTTCCTGTTATTGGAAAATATCGAAAATGAATTCGTGACGGGAAAGCTGGCCAAGCTGGGAGCAGGGAAAGTGGCCGGGTGGCCTGATGTCCCGTCGTCCGAATGTCCTGGCCATAAATCGAGCGACGAATCAACAAATTAGGGGTTGTCCTGGTCGCGCGCGAGTGTTTTTCACGGTGTCTGTGTGTGTCTGCTACACGGAAACGATTCGGGGATGCTTTTTAAAGGATTTTTAATAAACTATATAGATTAGTTTTTTTTTGTGCCTAACGTGTGGTTGTGTGTGTGGGACCTGGCCAGTTGAATCACCTGATGGTGAACACATGACCCAATTCCGTCAGCATCCTGGCCAGCTTAGTCAGGACCAGAACCTGAACCGCGCTTAGAAAACCACCCCGGGAACCTTAACCCTCGAACGCAAAGTGCCGAGCCAAGTGCCTCACCCTTAACCCTTAGCCAAGCACTTGCCTGGCTTCCTGCTTCCGCATTCTAATTAGATTGCAATCATTTCACAATTTGATTGCCAGCCGCCTTGATGAACCACCCATACCACTTACCACTTGCCACTTGCCACTTGCAGCGCCTCCAGCTCCACGGACCGCGCCCCCTAGCCTGTCCGCCCACCAATCTGTCAGCCTGCCAATCAGCCATTCCGCCAACCCGCCAGCGGAATGGACCAGCTGTGCTACCTGGCGCTGAGCGTCCTACTGGCCATCATCGTGGTCTACGGCCTCCTGGAACTCCACTACTTCCTGCGCATGTGCCTCTGTGTCCTGCTCGCCCGCTTTGTGAAGAGGCGCTGCCACATCCTGGACACCACCACGGTTAACGGTGAGAGCTTCGTGCGATTATCCCTGATCCTTTGTCCTCAATGCAAACTGAAGAGTGAGCATTGCCACTCTGGACTAATGCACTGAAACATAATTAAGTATCCAGTGCCTTTTAAAGTTGTGAAGTCCACTGAATTATCCTACAAAATATCTAGAAAGTAATTTTCTGAGCATCTGAGTGTAGATGTGTTTCAAAAAGAATTGACAAGAATTAAAGTCAAGCTTAACTTTATAGGAAATATACAAATATTAATAGCTCTAGAGTAATTGTGTAAAAGTGCATAGTTTTGCTCTTCAAGTGTTCCTGAAACGAGTAGACTAATTACGTTTAAGTGCCATCAAGCTGTCTCTAGAGATTATCACTCATACGCAGCGTTGGCTCAACTCGAATGGTTTAAGTTTATTTACCATTTGAAAGCAATTACTTGTTTCAGAGTTCCAGGTTGCCATGGTACTGTAGCTATTGGACGTGTTTTTATGGCTTAACAAGAAACATAGCTATGACCATTAGATGATCCTACCAGCGATGTTGCAGCAACGTAATCCCCCATTAACCTTTCAATATTTTTAGGACTCTGCCTCACCAACGACGTGGACACTTTGCTGTACCACATGAACAACGCTCGCTACTTCCGCGAGCTGGACTTCGCCCGCGTGGACTTTTACGAGCGGACCAATCTCTACCGCACCATCACGGGCATGGGCGGTTCCGTGTTCCAGGGGGCGGCCACCATACGCTACCGTCGCTTCATCCGCCCCTTTCATCGCTTCAACATTATCTCGCGGGTGAGCATACAAGCCAAACAAAATTAAAAAGTAAAAACACCCAATTAAGCATTTCTAAACGCTCATTTCGTTTCAGATTATTTACTGGGACGAGCAGTCACTCTTCATGGAGCATCGATTCGTGCGTCCGTCGGACAAGTTCGTGCACTGCATCGCCATCTGCCGGCAGCGGGTGATCGACGTGTCCATGGAGGCGGTGATGTCGGAACTGCTGCCCAGGACCTCCTCCAACGGATTCCGGGCGACGGTGCTGCCCTCGCTGGCTGCTCCCTCGCCGGCGGCTGGTGGAATAAGCAATCCCGCGATGGACACTTCGCTGGCGGAGAACGGACATGGGACGACGAGCGGGGGCGCGACGGGCACAGGCGCCACGCCCACCGCGACCACGGCGCACTGCCTCAAGCTAAAGCCCTCGCTGCCGCCGGAGCTGGCCAAGTGGATAGAGTACAATGATATGTCGAGCAAGAATCTACGCAGTGGCTGCTGACTGGAATCGTTGGAGTCGCCGGAAGCGGATGCGCAACCGGAAACGGAAACGCCCATTAATGCGTTTGTTTTTTTTTTCGTTGTCTCGCGTGCTTGTGTGTTGTGTGTGTGAGTGTGCGTGCTAAAGTGTGCTAATGTTTAATGTCTAAGTGTGCACGTGGAATGTTTGTACTGTAAGCTATGTAAGGGTCTGAAAACAGAAAAAAACAAATAAGAAATACCCGCCCCCTTTTGGCCTTAACTAATGTATTGTATAATTGCCCAGAGATCAGCCACGCCCCCACGAACAATGAACTAAAAATACAAAGAAAACTCCTTGGTAGTCCACAGTGTGTAAGCTATGATGTACAATGATTGTTTAGTAAATGAACAAACTAATGTGAAAAAAGAAGCAACTAAATGAGTGATTTTCTTGGCCCTTGGCTTTGGCGCCTAAAAGCAGGCTACACTTTGCCACCAATCTAGCTGGTGGCGCACGATTTATGGTTAATCTGTTGCTTAAGCTGAGCCTAAACCCATTGGCAAATATTGTCTTTCGATTCAAAATCACCTTGTGGCACTGTGAGTAGGCCCCATCTTGAACTTTCAGCAGCAGCCCTTTGAAAATGTTGTCTATTCGGGTAATTTGCCGCGCCGATGATGGCTCGATGTTTGCACCGATCGGGGAATAGCTTTATTTACCTGTGAATTTGCTTATTACGCCACACCAGAGATTCCCACACACATCAGCGAACGGTCGTTGGAATCGAAAGCAATCGATTGCTTGGGCAAGATGGAATTATCTGTGCAGGTGAGCCAAGAAATGCGGGGAAAAACAAGCGCAAGTGGGCGAGGGCGGGCATATGGAGGGGTCATTCCAGTGTTGACCATAATTATTTGAGAAAAGTAGCTAAAATACTTATTTAACCTAGCTACTACGCTCCGCTGCGGCTAAGTCTCAATAACTGTCGAAAAGTGACATCAATCTTAGGGTCACAGCAGTGTAATGCAGTATTACAGAAGTCACAAGTTCCATTATTTACACTGGTTAATTGCAATGTTTACTTAGAAGCTCCGCTTTTAAAACAGCTAACTTAGGCCCCGTATTACTTGACAATATTTTATTGCGTAGACGCCTCGTTAAAATGGTTCTGCTTAATTATTAGTATTATTATATTCATTATATTAGTATATTGTATATTATATATAATTCATTATATTATATTAATTAGTATTACATATTATTTAATATTTTTTGCTTAATGCCACTTAATTTAGCTCGAAAATAGCTAAATTATTTTCATCGCCCGCATTCAGTGTTGCTCAAGGGTACTTTTTCTAGCTATTATAGCTGAAAGCATATACCTAATTTATAGTTGCCATCACAGCTGGCGTTGGTTAACTTCGACTGATTGCTTTCTTCTGCTTCGGCACGGCGTCGTCTTCGCTCTTTTCCTATCGGCAGTCTTCAGTCTGCAGTCTACAATCTTCGGTCTTCAGTCTTTAGTCTTCAGTCTTCAGTCTACAGTCTACAGTCTACAGTCTTCGGTCTTCAGTCGACTGTCGCCTTGCTTCCCCAACGGTTGTGTCGCTGCCTGCGTACCGGTCCGCCCGCTTTTACCGCCCGTACCGCTTCCCCGCTCGTACCGCTCTCAGTTGCTAGAGTTTGGCCAGCTTAACGGCCTACTGCACATGTAAGTGTATATACTTGGCGGTGGGGTCAACCAATACAATTGACTTTCACGGCAACGAACTTTGGCGATCCGATAAATCAGCGCCAAAGTCTGATGCACATAGAAAAAATTAAGGCTTTGTCATAATAACATGCTTATCCCAATAATTCTTACAAAAACTTTTCCTATCTTTCTTAATAACAAGTTTATAGCTTGAGAACTTAAGCACAAGCATTATTTTTGTCATATTATTTTAGTTCCCCTTAAAATATTTTTTCATGTAGTTACAACTTTCGCTGCAACTAACAAGTTTTCGCCCCCATCGTTTCAGTGGGAACTCAAGCACACAATCAGATACCGCGATGTCTTGGCTGGTGGTTTTGCTGATCCTGTACGTGATCTGGGATGTCAACTATTTCATCCGCTGCGTGTTCACGGTCTTCGCCGGCCGGCTGTTCCAGCGGAAGCGCAAAGTCACGGACACCACGGCAATCTACGGGCTGTGCACCTCGCAGGACGTGGACATCTTCATCCGGCACATGAACAACGCCCGCTATCTGCGCGAACTGGACTTTGCCCGCTTCCACTTCTACGCCCTAACCGGACTCTACGAGCGCATCCGGGAGCGACGCGGCGGAGCCGTTCAGGGAGCCAGCAGTGTCCGCTACCGCCGCACCATACCCATCTTCCATCCGTACAAGATCCAGACCAAGCTGATCTGGTGGGACGACAAGGCCATCTACCTGGAGCAGCAGTTCATCACGCTATCGGACGGATTTGTGCGTGCGGTGGCCATGTCCAAGCAGAACATCACCAACTGCAATGTGCTGGAGGTGCTGAAGACCTATCCGGAAACTGCCCAGCGACCGGAGAAGCCGGAGGAGCTCAAGCTCTGGCTGGACGCCATCGAGTTGTCCAGCCAGAAGCTGCGAAAGGACAAGTGATCGATTCCTTCCTCCCGCAGCACTGCTCATTTATGCTTGCCTCATTTGCTTAGTCTTATAGTCATCTTATTACTATTATTTTTTTTTGAGTGCACAGTAAAGGAATACTGGAATGAAGGGCTTTTCACGCAAAAAAGCGTACAAAATGTATACAGGCAATGATTTTCAACAATAGCCCATTGTTACTTAAAGACTTTATGTGCTAGTTATAAAAATATTGCAATAATGGAATGGCCGAAGCTTTTTAAATATATTTTTTTACAAACCCAATTGTACATACTGAAATACTTTTGGATTATCACCGAAGATACAGCCCTTGTACATATATCTTTTCCATTTTGCGCTTTTTATCACATAGATTTCCTAGAAACGCGTTTTTTGTGGACGTTGGTCGTTGAAATTTAATTTTTCAACTTTCATTTATGCTAAGTTTAATATCACGCAACGCCAAGTCTGTGTCGATGAGTGGATTGATTATTTTCGATATTTTCTTTTACGCTGTTTCCATTATGAAGCGGCTAATTATGAAGACTGCGTTTTGATTATGTAATTTCGAAACAAAACCGCTTTCGGACTGCCATCCTCAGCAGTTTTGCCCCAGCAAAACGGTTTGCAAATATTTGGAAATCAGCATAAAGAATGTGGAAACTTAGGGATCCAAAATATTTGCATAATACCATTATGTAGCGGTTTTTAAGTTGAAACTTGGCCACAATTTGTCCTATTGTTTCTTTTTGCAGTGCACAAGCCAAGCAAACAACACGAACTCCGCAGGCTTTTGAAAAATTAAGTTTTTATTAATTTTTGGGAATTTAGTCAATGGTAACATATTCAAAATTTGCGAAAAATTATCCAAAACTTAAGTTTCTAGGCTGGGATTGGCATCGATTGGAAATTAGTTACAACGTGTGACATTCCACATTTAGACTATTTAGACAAATTAATACTTATTTACGTTGTCATGGTTAAAACGCTGATTTTTCCGAAAAATACGCACTTAAAAGATGCGATTTTTTAAATGGGTTTTCACCTATAACTTGTGCAAAATACCTAAGCTGTCGATACAATTTGTTCGGCACAAAAACAGATAATTTTACTGATTTGCCAACTAGCGAGGGTTCATTGAACCATTCGTAGCCCTACGTTTTTCCACCTGGAGATAACAATTATTGTTGCAACCTTCTGTTTGGTTGGATGTGGCTTAGAGATCGGGAGACAGCTGAGTGCCATCCGTAATCCGCAGCGTAATCCGTGACGTCATGTCGGATGCAACAGCTGCACACATGGCGTATGAGTGCTGACCACTTCCACTTCCCGTCGTTATTTATTTGAAATCTCTCCGTTTGTTGTGCTCTTTTTGCCTTTGTTTTTTTGTTTCGTTTTTTTTTTTTTTTGCTGTATGAATTAGGCCGAAAAGTGGATCAAAACGTGACACTGAAATCTAAACATAAATCTCATTCATAAAGTATGCAGACGGCGCGCGTCGCTATTCAGCTCTCTTTTGGGGGCGCACGTACTCCCCGATTCGCCCAGTGTGTTTCTCTCAGAGAGCGAGTTTGTAGTGCAACTGTCACCAGTAAGTACACGGAGAAAAATCGTAGGTATTTGTAGAAGAACGTGACCAATTGTGACGTCTATGAAGTTCAGCACCTAAGGTTATGCACTTTTTCTCATTTTTACTACAAACCCCAAGAGTCTTAAGTAAATTGTTTATAATTAGTTAAGATAAATCTTCCTAATATAGGAAATCTACTCTAAATCTAAAATCTCTAAATCTCTAAGGAAATCTAATCTAAAGGAGCGAAAATGTAAATCCTTGCACTGCTTTCTCGCTGTGCATTACAAGTTGCAAGCGAAGCGACTTCGGCTAGGCATTCGTGCCACTTCGGCTGCTGCGCGGCGGCGTTGCTTCTTTGCTATTTTTAACTGACAACGCGAAGAATTGTCAGTTTACGTTGAACAACCGCGGCGAGCGCATAGAATACGCCAAACGAACCGACTGCCTGAAATTCCCAAGCCAGCGATCCGAGTATCCCAATCCGAATCCGAATCAGAATTAGAAGTGCAGAACCAAATCGAAAATTCCTGCAGTTAATTGGAGCAGAAAGTGTGTCGATTTGTTTGTTTTCCTATTTTTTTTTCGAGTTCAATTCTGTGCCTTGTAGTGCGAATCGAAATCGAAAACCGTTGAAAACAGCGATAAATCGTCCTGAAGCCAATGTAAATGTCCTGTTTGTATAGCTAAAGTTGAAATACATATATAACACACACATACAATGTACATAGCATATAGAAAACCGATGCAGTGACAATAACAACGAACTTTTGCAGTTTATTGACAGCAGCAACAACCACAAAAACCAGATTGAAAGCAAACAAACAACAACTTGAAGTAATTTGCAACTGAAAAGAAATGCGGCAATGGGGCACAAACAAAGTATAAGCACATAGATTGCCCGATCGGCCAGAAAGGCAGCGGCAACAACACCGCCAAGTTACAACAAAAAAAAGAGAAAACTTTTCGTGGACGACACTTTGAAAAACCAACAGCAACAGCAACAACATTAAGGGGGGGGTCTCAACGGTCAGATGGTGAAAATCTTTTTCAAAACGACTGATCTTGTTGCTAAATCTTGTTACCCACTGGTTTTTAACGCCTGCTACAGTAATCTCCCCGTAACTTGCCCCCGGATCTTTTGTGATCTTCTGTTTTGTTATTACGAAATATTACACATATCTTTCCTCATTTTCAGTCACTTTTTAGTGTGGGAACTTGAAATCCAAGGATAGGCTCAAGCTGCCTTTTCAAAACATATGTGTATTATGAGTATGATAATACGTGATATGATATAATATCAGCTGTAGGTTTATAGTTTTAGCTTGGAGATTTTATTACAGATTATTAAGGTTTTTGTGCAGGAATGTAAGCGAAATTATTTCCCACCATAACTTAAGTTCTTCAACACAGTATCTCCCGCTTTGATAATGAGAAGAATATCTTTACATCTTCTTACGCATCGAGGGCAAATGCACGTTAATGGGCATTTCAATTTGCGAGTGGAAAATATGAAAAGCTAATCGATTTAACCCATTACTGCGACAATTTGGCAAAACTTTTGGCTAAACGAAAACAATTTGAGATAGCATAAATCACTCTGCCACATCCGCAGCATCGCAGATCCAGCTGCTCGAATTATGATAAATGCCCACAGCGCCGTGGAAAGTGTGTAGGGTATGGTGTGTGCGGCATGTGGCGGTGTATGGGTATAGGGTATGTGCGGGGCGGTACGGCGTAGTGGGTGGGTAAATCGCAAATTTTCAGCGTCAAATGCCATTAAGCCAGTCCAGCGTTATTGAGTTAAATTGGAAAATAAGCGAGCGACAGTTGCTGTTGCTGTGTGTGCCTTGTGCAATTGTTCGCACTTGGAGACGACGAACTGGCAACTGGGAACTGGGAACTGGCAACTGGGAATGGTAATCTCAGTCGCAGTGGAACCGAGCTGAAAAACTGAAAAAGCTGAAAAAGCTGCAAAGTGGACAGGCGTGGACAGGCCAGACCCATTACCCCGCCCATTGCCGCTTATTATTTGCACTATTTCATTATTATTATGTTCATGGGGACGATCCTCATCGCGGATGATAGTTATTCCAATTATATGGTGGATAGCCTGACCCTCGAGCGGACATTCCTAACCCCTCCGTATGTGAATCTGAATGTGAATCTGTTTATGAATCTGAATCTGAATCCCAAAGGGGTAGCGAGATCGTAGGAGGATCGAGATTAGGAGGCACGTGCTCTGGAACTTCAACTTGCGATCAATTAGTAAGGTTATTGCAAGTCAGACGATTACAGTTGAGCAAATTAAAAATCATAAGTGAAATAGTGTGAAATGATTGATTTTCAGAGAGAGTTATATAGTTTTGAAATCAACTTTATCCCGGATAACTCTGGGCAATCTTTTCGGAACCCCTCTTGCCAAGCAGTGCATCTCAAGAGAAAAACTCTTTCGCTTTTTATTTGGTTTTCATAGCTGGTTCACACGCAATCTGTTTTAGTTTTTTTTTATTTGGTCAACACGAATTTTCCCAGATCCATGGGCTTGATTGCAACAAAACATGTGATCATTAGCATGTAACCAATTCAAAAAGTGCTGCTTCTTTCCCATGAAAGTCGAGAAGAATGGTGGTTTTTGGCAATTCAACTCTTGGTTCTCTGCACATTCGCAATGTTCCTAATAGGTTTTTTAAATACTCATATATATACAAAGTTGGTAATGCTAAAGGGTTTTGCCGCTTCTTTGGACACTTACATTGTATTTAAATTTCTTTAGAATCAATGAAAGTTGATGGATAATACTCGACCCTGGCTGCTTTTTTTGCCACCCATAGTTTAAATAAACAGATGAGAACACCCATTCATTTGTTCATCTGCTTCGGTGACCGTGGTCATTACGGTCGCTGCTGTTGTTAATTTAGTTACTTTTTATTTAGTTATTGTTTTCATTGAATCATACAAGATATTTGCATAGGCGAGTGCCCACCCATGTGTGGACACTTGTGGATTGCTGCATTTGTGCAGCAGTTGCAGTTGCAGTTGCAGCTGCAATTGCCTAACCAATCGCCCCCGCTGGCACTCACACACGCATGTATCTGGGTACTCCAGTTACATGGCACTGGCAAAGGAAATGCCAATGGAAACCGTAGTTTTAATAGTAACATAATAATAGCAGAATATTATATTCAATGTATGAACTGCACATATGTACAATCAATTGCTGCTTCAAATTGGTTGTTTAGTGGCTGCAAGGTCTCGTTTTCTCACAGGATTTACTAAATAAATATGATAAGCTATAAATATAATTTACTATAATATAATAATGTATTTCTTCTTTGCAGATCCCGCGATGGGCAATGCCGGCTACACTTGCATACGCCGCACATTCTGCTGGCTCAACATCATTCTATGGGTGAGTTATTGGCATAACCCAAATACTACTAGTTACCGAGAAGGTGGTACCTCAAGCTATGAAACATTCTATGAAACATTCCGAGCAAGCAGTAGGTTCAAATTTGATACACATAATAATATTCTGACTGCCGTCTCATTTCGTCGAGAACGGATATGCAGCATCAGATGCACGGGCAAAATCAAAATCAGAAGGTAGGGCGGCTAATCAGTGCCACAACTTTGCCGTCGTCTGCGGCGGAAGTGTCTTTGTGGCACCATGTTGCATTGTCTGAGCGCCTGTCACTGACTTTTGCGTTTGCCTTTGGCTTTGGTTTCGATTCAATTCAGTTTCAGCTCAGTTTCAGTTCGGTTTCTGTTCAGTTTCAGTTCAGTTTCAGTTCAGTTTCTGTTCAGTTGTAGCTCAGTTTCAGTTTCCAGCTCGACTTAAACTTTGGCGGCGTGTTTGCCTTTAGATTTCTGGATCTGCAGCTGCAACTTCCGTCCGCTTTTGTTTTTTGCCGCTGGGTTGTCCCCCCAATTCCCTGAGAATGTCAGATGTCAGTCGTTGTACACATGCAACATGCTCTCAGTCGATGGTATTATCGCATTTCCCTTGTGAATCCCTTTGATCCTTCAGCGATTCGAGCAGCAATGCCTATTAATCAAGGTCTGTGTCCAAGTGACTTGTGGATTTGCATCCAATATTAGGCTGGGGTTCTTAATCGTAATTGTTAGTTCCTCTGCCAATGCAGCTGCCTCTCACTTTTCGCGCATTCTGCATGGTAATCAGTGCCTTTCCAATTTCTAATTTCGAATTTCTAACTCCCACTACACAGCTGTGTAGCTGCGCGTTCTTAGGAGCCGGACTCTGGTTACGGCTGAGCTACGCGGGATACGCCACCTTGCTGCCACAGCACGCCGGTCTGAGTGCGGACACCATCTTCATGGGCATCGGGGGCACCGGGTTCGTGGTCAGCTTCTTTGGCTGCTGCGGCGCCTGGGTGCAGTCCCGCTGTCTCCTGGTGTTGGTGAGTAAATTGGGGGATCAGGGTCAAGGGAGTGGATTTCTATTTTGCTTTGGTGCAATATACCCGCAGTACTTCATGCTGATTGTGATGCTGTTCATGAGCGAGTTCCTGGTGGGCTCCATCGCCTTTCTCTTCCGCGGCGGACTGGGACGGACTTTGGCCAACGAGCTGCGCTTCGGTATCGAGCGGCACTACAACAGCAGCGATCGGGGATCTCTGGTGGCGCCTTCGGTGGCCTCCATTTGGGACAGCGTGCAGCAGTCGGTGAGTTGGTGTTGCCTTTCGCTTGTTGCCCATGCAAACATGATCATTGGTCATTGCAACATTGATACCCTTGTTGCAGTTCGAGTGCTGCGGCGTCTCCTCCTACGAGGACTGGTATGACATACAGTCGTGGCCGGGCAGGCGCTGGGTGCCCGAATCCTGCTGCAGGACCCTCTACGATCAGCGCCAGGTGCTCACCGAAGGATCCGGCGACGGAATGATGCGCCCCGACTGCGGCAGGTGAGTTACATTTGGAGATCTCTGCTCAGGCAACTATACCATTGTTTTCCCCTCCGATCTAGATCCGAGAATCCGTCGCTGTGGTGGGACAAGGGCTGTGCCCACTCGCTGCAGAGCTGGTTCACCGGCCAGCTGAACGTGGTGGGCGCCGTGGGATTGGGGATCGCCTTCGTCCAGCTGTTCGGGTTGATCACATCGATGCTGCTGTTCTGCACGGTGAAGCACAAGCGGTCCTCGGACACCTACAAGTCGTACTCCCCCTCAATCGATCCCCAGACCCGCACCAGCAGTTGGGAGGATTGAACGCGCCTGTGAGCGGCGGTAGGCGGACTTCTAAATTGGCGGATCGGATTCGAACGGATTCGGACCCATCCCGTCGCTATCTCTATTCCCCTCTTGTTAACTCTCTTAGTTTCTAATTAATTCTGCGAAATGTGCCAAAAATTAATTTAATTCAAAGTGTAATTTTTTTTTTGTTTGTAATCTGTTTTGTTTGTAATCTGTAGGCGAAGACATATCGAACAAAATTAAACTGGCAGCCAGATGACCAGTGTGAACGTGGCATAAGGCTGCCGGTAACAATCACATATTTAGTTAGCGGTGTATCCATATTGTGATGTGCTCTCTAGTAGTATAGTATAAGGCCCAAGTACCGAAACGCACCTAGAAACAGGGTACACTGCGTTCCATACTTATCAGGCTGGCTACTTAGATGCCAGAGTGAGTGCCCGAGATAAAGCAGCTAGTGTGAGTAGGAATACTTGGACCGGAATATGCTCGTAACCCTTCAACAAAATCAATATATCAACTATATATTTATACATAATTATACAATACTTATGTTACTTTATGGAACTATGTAGTATTCGAAATAGCAGAAACCGCAACTGCCCGAAAAGCGTGAGAAAACCGAGTAGACGAAGTGGACGAAGTGCATGATGTGGAGTAAGTGGGTGCAAATAGTTAAAGCAAATATTACACAACTACTATGAGTATGATTATTTTATTCATACATACAAATATTTATATCGAAATGCATTCCTACACAACATGTTCGTGTTAAGTTACAAATAAATTAAAGTATTTATTTAAATTACACATGCAGCCAAAACAGGCATACTTTTGTTTCTTGCCTTTAAAGGCCCACCAATTTGCCACCGATGACATCCAGTTGAGCCGTAATTCCCTTCGTCACGCTGCGCGCCAACTCTTTGGGTTTCTGCGGGGGAAATGGAGGGGAAGAGTGTGGTCAAGGAGGGAAAGCTGGAACTGACCTTGGTCAAAGCGAAGCACACGACTAATTGCATAAGCAGTGCCAGCCAGCAGTGGTGCTGTCAAACTGGCTTGAAAATAGCCAGGACTCAGGCAGTTGCACTGAGCACAGTTAAAGTAGAAACATTGCAATTGACGACTCAGGTCGTAAGTTGATAGATCTATCGATTATACATATATGTTATCGCTGGGCGCATTATGCAACGTGTGTGCGAATGAATCCACCATGGAACCGGGGAAACAGGGCAAACAAACACAAGAAACACAAACTGCACAAACTACTCACCTGAATGAAGGTGTTGAGCAGGTTGGAAAAAGCCTCATAGCCGTTGACAATGGATCGCGAGATGCCGTCGAACATGTCGCCGTTGTTGCCGTACTTCTCGTGCTCGCCGATAGAGTCCAAGATGGGAACGGGCTGCAATCGAAACGGGGTGCTGGTGGCTCCATTTGGGGCATATGCATAACACACCACTCACCTGCGCCAAGTCGGCCAGCTTCTTTTGGCTATTATCGTACACGCTCAGCACCTTCGAGGGAATGGCCTCCTGCTCCAGATTCACCGATTCCGCCGTCTTAGCCGGAGTCGGCAGGAGCGAGATCTGCCGGGAAACAAAGGCAAGTCACTTGGAGGTACAAACACCCACCAGCACACACCACTCACCTTGAATCCGGCCTCGCTGGCCTGCGCGTGGGTGGATTCCGCGGAGCTGTCGGCGGCATCGAAGGCGTCCTGGGCTCCAAAGTCGGCGGCCGAGACGCGGGCGTCGATAGGCGTGGCGCCGTCGGGCGTGGCGGGCGCTATGGGCGTGGCGCAGACGCAGTGCATCACGGCCAGGAGCGGCAGCAGATTATGCATCTTCTGAGCTGCCACCATCGTCGTTTTTCTATGCGAGGCGAAGGGGAAACGAGATGAGCCAACAAGATGGTTTTCCAAGAAGGCGAAAACTTCCACGTCCAAGTCCCAGCTGGAGCTTCGATCCGAAGCCTGGTGAGTCCAAAATTCAACTGAATAGCTGCGTCTGCGCAACGATTTTATTGGTTTAACCCGACCACGAGAGTCGCCGCTTTGGACATTGAGCCACGATCGTTTTGGCTTTAGTTTGGGTTTCAGTTGGAAGCTCAGGTTTTCAGGGGGCAGTGGTCGGGGGTATGCGACTCGTGGAGCCGCTGCACAGTTATGTTTCATTATTACGTTGCACGAAATCCACACATTTAACAGCGAGAGTATGTTACCAAAACAAACAGTGCTACAATTTACTTAAATAACGTTCATTTTGATAAGACTGATCAGCACCCACTGAAGTTAAATGCTTGAAAGCTTTGAATGAATTATAAATTAATTATTTATAAATTAGGTTTAGTTTTGATTCTTTTAGGAAGTTCACTTTTACACCTTGTTCATGGCTGACTTTAAGAGATCCAAAATAATAACGAATGCCTTCTCCGTATCGCCAGAGCCGCCTAATTTTTTCCGACAGTGTAGCGTATTGGTCGTAATGAAAACGACAACAACAAACAGCCATAAAACTGTAACAATAACAACAAAGGCCAAATCTGCAACTTGTTGCTGTCAACAAATGTTGCCGTCATTCTGTCGCAACAATGAGGAAGGAAACTCGGTTTACTTGGTTTACTCAGTTAGTTGGTCAATCGGGGTAGCCCCGCCCCCCACCCCCCACCTACTCCCGCCTATCCATCGGAAAAGTCCCCTCGACACATATGATGGTTGTGCAATTACGGCTCCACACTGTGAGAAATTTATTGCAATGACGTAAACATTACGTGAAACCATATAGAAACGCCAAAACACTTTATATTGAAAGTAAAATGATTTTTTCCCGCTTGGCCGGATTTTTTGCCAATGAATTTGCCACCCAACGCCACCGACGCTCACTTTTACTTTTCATGCGAGTCGGTCAATTAAGATAGATAGATAGTTACTCAGCAACATGGCATATTTACTTGTAATCAGTTACAATAATCAATGTAATTATGTGGCTAAGTAGTGTTTCTACTTCTGACGGCAATCGGAAGGATCTCCAGCTTAGGCCTTGTGAGGATTAGAGTGTCTTCGAGGTTCTCGATGTCCTGTTCTTTATATGAGCTTTAGAAGCTTCCTGGTTCTGCGATTTGGCAGGTGAAAGTGCAGTTTCCCTGGCAATCCATCAAAAAGTCCACCAAAGGTTTGCTTCCTCAAGGGAAGGAGATTATTTCACAGGCCAAACAAATCAGCTCGGCTTTTGAAATATTTTACTGCATTAAGTTGCGAGATCAACGAGGTATCCAAATTTCGATGGGCAATTTAATTACCAGCAGTCCAATGTTTTTACCCAAATACTGATTTTTATTGCATACTTTTAGACAGCTCTGTACATTTGAAACGCAACGATTTTAGCTGCTATAGTTTAATTTAATTTAAGTATTAAATATTTGAGTAATTATAGTTATCTTAAAAAGCTATTAGACAGCTCTGTACATTTCAAACGCAACGATTTTAGCTGCTATAATTTAATTTAAATATTAAATATTTGAGTAACTATAGTTATCTAACAAATTGGAGGGAAGAGATGCAAAGAATACTTTTTAAGTTTTATATTAAATTGCAAATTTGAACAATTCAACAACTGGGCATTTTTGCGTAATTTACATACACTGTAAAATTTAGTAGCCAAATAATACGTTTTATCGGTTGTCACACTAGCTACTCGGCAGCTGGCTCTGGTGCAGGATCGGCAGGAGCAGGAGCTTCTGCCTCTGGCTCTGGTGGCGCTTCGGCGGCAGGCGCCTCCTCCTTGGGCGCCTCGGGTGGCGCCACTTCCGGTGCAGGAGCATCTGGAGCTGGAGCATCTGGAGCTGGAGCCGGTGCATCCGGCGCCGTTCCCTCGGCGGCTGGCTCAGCTGCGTCCACCGGTGCGGCATCTCCGGCTGGCGGAGCTTCTCCGGCCGCTGGTGCGACAGCTCCTTCTTCGCCAGCGGGAGCCTCCGCGGCGGGCGCTTCTGCCTCTGCGGCTGGAGCATGTGCCTCCGGTGGATGAGCCGCCGCTGCAGCTGCTGCCGCCGTCTCCATTTCCTGAGTGATTTCGGTGGCCCGCTTGCTCTGAAAAGATATTGAAGATAAGACATATTATTACGCCGCAAATTAGTAAGTATTTAGGTATGAAAACTCAAATAGAACCTACCTTCTTCTTCTTCTTTTCCACCTCGACGACGACCTCCTCCTGGGCCTTGTAGTCCTCCGGGAAGAACTTGAGCGCCTCGTCCTTGCCGACATTCACATTGGGACTCACATAGCTGGGACCGTACGAAACCAGGGATAACATCATATTGGACTGCACCTTGTTGACCTTCAGCACGATCTTGTCGGTGCTGCAGTTGAGCGAGAAATAGGATTGAACGTGAGGTAAAATGCACGGGCTAATCCCGGCCAGAATACGTACGGTGCATGAGGGCTGCTCTCGTATTTGTCCGTTGAACTGGCAATAAGTTCGGCCTCGTCCGGCTCGGCGCTGGAGAAGAATCCGTAGAGCGGCACATCGTCCTTGTGTCGATCGACCACATGCATGATCTCCTTGCGCTTGGAGGCGTCGAAGGCCATGATGATGTGCGGTGGCTCCGGCTTGGGATCCGGTGGCAGAAACGCAGATGTCTGACTGCGGAAGAACACATAGATGAGGGCGGCATGGGTGCGCCGATTGTTGGGCACCCAAATGGGTGGCATTTTCACCGTCTTGGTGCGAGTGAGTGGCTTCGGTTGCTCATCCTCCTTAACCTCCGCCACCTCCTCCTCATCCTCGCCGGCCTCATCGCCGGCATCCACTTCCATCTCGAAGCCGGGCATGGAAGGGAAGCCGCCCATTGCATCGCCTCCGGGCTCGGGCGCAGCCGTCTCCTCCTCGCTGGCCTCCTCCTCGGCATCCAGATCGGCGGCTTCCTCCTCGGCCAGGTGCCCCTCCTCGTGGATGACCGACTTCGTTTTGGCCTTGCTTTTGGCCTGGTGCAGCCTCGCCTCCTCCTCGGAGCTGATCTCCTCCACCCAAGTCTCGCCCTCCTTCAGCTCCACCTCGATTTTTAGTTTCATGGTCGTGATAATCGGCGGCAAGACATGCTCCTCGGGAATATCATCGTTGGGCGGCGCCACGCGCTCCTTGGTCAGCTCATTGGCATAGGCCATCAGGACGTTGGGCACGGTGCCGATGCTCTCGTCAATCTTCCAGAAGCACATGAGCAGCTCCTTGCCGTCCAGTTGCTCGATCACATCCGGCGACATGGGATTCTTGCATGCAAAGTTCACAATCTCGAACTGGTCGGTGCTCACCTGGATGATCCGGCGATCCTTGCACTGCATCTTAAGTGCTTCGGCTGGTTCGGTTAGCTTCTTGAACATGTCGCGATTGACCTGCGGTCCAAAGACCGTCACACCTATATCGGGTATGTTCTCCATGATGCAGTCCGTCACCTGGGTGAGATAGTCCACCTGCTTCTTGTGCTTTATCTCGCGCTCCGCCCGCTCGGCCCGCTCGATGGCCTCCATCTTGATGCGCTGGTGCTCCACCTCTATGGGCTGCAGCTCGTCCAGTCTGTAGCTGGCCTGACGTGATGCCTTCTGCGTGGTCTTCTCCAGCTCTTTGACCAGCATGGACGTCAGCTTGGGCACATCCGAGCCGAACATAAGGTTAACAGCCCTTCCTCCCTAAAAATCGCATATACGCATATATATGGCCATGAAATTGGTGTATGAACTTTAACCTTGGATAACCAAGACTTACGGTCACAAAAAGCCAGATGGGCTCACTCCGCTTATTAAATCGTTTCAAGGACGTGATGGTGTCCGATTTGCACTAGGTTAAAAGTCAGTTAGCGAGCTGAAGCACAAAGTGAATAGTACGACTTAACCCACAATGGCCAGATGCAGATTATCGCCGCCAATCTCCAGCTTGATTTTTCGCAGGGATCCCACCAGGCCCTGGCAAGGACCACACCATTCCGAGTAAACATCCAAAACTGGTGGGCTGTTATTGTTAGAATTGCAGGAACTTTACAAGCGGTTGCAGACAAACCCAAGAGTCCTGGCCGCTCCATGAAACGCTCCAGCTCCTCGTCCGTCTGGATGTCAGCCTGCAGTTGTTGTTGTCCCCCCTTCTTTGCCATTTAGCCGAAAATGACTCTTCCTGCTTCCAAATAAAATGAAACAAAAGAAACGAATTTTTTGGATTTTTCCGAATTTTGATTTTTTGTACTATTTTTTCTCCCTTTCTTCTGGATGCCAAACCGAAAACTGAATGTTCCATGAACTATTGATTAAACAAGACGCCCCCTTTACTCCCGCCCCCAATTTACTACTTTTTGCCATTTCTTTTGTTTTTTGCAGTGAGCTGAAATACACTTGGTAATCGCAGACAAATTAGTCAACCACAATAGTTTAATTGTTCGTAAAATTACGCTTTTTACATTACACACATTGGCGAGTTCTTACACATTGCATAACAAAAAAATTGTTCACTCCTCACTACAATAGTTAAAATAATTTAAACAACACAAACAAAAAAATACGAGTATGAATATGGAGCGGATATCTTTTTTCCTACGCGACGAGTCACGATTTCAGTACATGGACTGCATAGTAGGTACATCGATTTGGACATGTTAAATACACATACTAATTATAGTAATAATAATATAATAATAATAATAATAGATTATGCGGTATATGGATAGACCTACAGTACATGTGCATAGGGTGAGCAAGTTTTAGATTTAGGCGAACTACGAGTAACTCAAGACCTCCCTTAAACAATTAATATGTACAGTTATTAACACAAAACTAACGTTAAACGTTCGTCAATTAACTCTGCCAGCCGGTGCCATCCTTTGGATTGCGATATCAGCACAAAGATACAGTGCTCCATCTCTATCTCACGGATATCCCATTGATGGTGATCACATTACTGGCCACCGGTTCCGGCTCGTAAACCTCATCATTGGTGCGCATCTCGTAGGGAGCGTCGTAGAATTGCTCGTTGGGTATTTGATCGTAAATGTTTTCTGTAACGAAGCAAATTGTTATTCAACGTTTTTGCCAATATTAAACGGGCTGAAAACCATATCTGCCAACGCTTAAGGTATGTACAATATACGTTTTCATAGGTCAAATACGTTCCATCATCAAATCATCAAAAATCTATGTTCTCTGTATTTCATATCCCACGTACCCGAACGATTGTTGTTCAGTCTTTCGCCATTGCTGTTTGCATCCGGATTGCCGCCGCCATTGTTCCGTCCGCCGGCGCCGCCGTGGAACGTGTTGAACGTCGCCGACGGATTGTTGTCCATGTGCATCCGATTGTTGGCCTCCAGGGTGGAGTACGACATGACGGCGGCATTGCGCTCGTCCTTCGTCTCCGCCGCCTGCACGTTCTCCGTGTTCTTGACGGGTCTCGCCTTGTTGCGATAGAGGAAGATCAAGCCGAAGATCACCAGCAGGGCGACGATCACAGTGGCCCCAATGCCCACGCCCGTTCCCAGCTCCGAGGTCTCCTGACCCTCCGCCGTGGCCAATTCGCAGCGCGGCTGCTTGCCGCTCCAGGCTCCATCCTCGGTGCACTTGCGCAGGTACTGGCCAATCCGGTTGTAGTTCGGTATGCAGTGGTACTCCGCCGAACCGCCGTACAACGTGGAATCGTTGACCACAATCACCCGACCATTCTCGATGGCCAGAGGACGACCGCAGTCGACGGCTATGGTTAAATATCAAGGTAAATATGCATTTTTTCGGCTAAAACGGGATATACTTACGTCTGCAGGTGGGACTCTTTCCGGTCCACTTGCCGTTCTTCTGGCAGACGCGCGTATCATTTCCCATCATGATCCTGCCCTTGGCACACTTGAAGGTGGCCACCGCTCCCACAGCCCGGGGACCCGCCTCCACGATCAGGTTCTCACTGATGTTGGGCGTATCGCAGACCACCTCCACGCATTCCGGCGCCTCGTGGCTCCAGTTGCCGTGCTCCGTGCACAGCCGTCGGGATACTCCGTTCAGCTTGAAGTTCACATTGCACTCGTAGAGGACAGCGGCTCCGTAGTAGGTGGCATTCGTGGCCAGCACCACCTTGCCATTGTTGATGCTCTCCGGTGCGCCGCACTCCACATCTGAAATGGATTGCCATATAATATCGAGTGATGAGAAGACATTCATATAGTCGTATACTCACACACACACTCCGGAATGGTGCCGCTCCATTGTCCGCTATCCGTGCAGGTGGCCAGTGCCTCACCCACCATCTTGTAGCCCCGTTCGCACCGGTACTTGGCCAGCGCTCCAATCCTACAGAGGAAAGTGTCCAATAGAATTAGCAGGGGCACCACGAATGTTGGGATCTATCACTCACTTGTAGGTCTGAGCTGTGTTCTGCGAGGATTCGGATGTGCGGATAAGTGTTCTACCATACATGCGGTCATTCCCGGTGACGGAGAGCAGACTATGCGCAGCCAGCTTGGGTTCCGGACAGCGGATCTCTGCGAAAGACGGACGACCGCGATGAGCAACTGCATCAATGGGCCATCTCTATGGGCCTATTTGTATACTCACCCTCGCACTTGGGCGACGCATCGCTCCAGACAGCCGATTCCAGGCACGTGCGCTTGAGCACTCCACTCAGCTTGTGCGATTGGGAGCAGCTGAACACCACCTCGGATCCCACATAGGTGGTATTCGTCACGTACTTGTGGCTGCCATACGGAATGGGCAGTATTGTGCCGCAGTCGATATCTGTATCGGAATGAAATATATATATTATGTATATAATGGAAAATCAAAAGAGTTTGTGAAAACAGTTTCATGAGTGCAATGGAAAGCTCTTCAGTGAAGATCTCCATAATTATTATAAGAATGAACCTGAATAGTAACTGATGACTTACACTCGCAGTAGGGCGCATCGGCACTCCATTCCCCGGTGTCCAGGCACTCGAGCACCGGCGTGCCGTGCATGATGTGACCGGGATCGCAGTTGTACTGGATCTTCGAGTGGACATTGTAGTCGTAGCCGATGACAAAGGAGCCGGATGGCACGGGTGGCGTCTCGCAGGTGACCAGTTCGCAGACGGGCGCCTCGCCGGACCACTTGCCGTCCCGGGTGCAATAGAGCTCCGACTGCCCGTCCAGCCAGTGGTCCTCGTCGCACTCGTACTTGACCACCGAGTTGACGGTGGTGGTGCCGTTCAGCAGGATGGCAATGCCCCGATTTGGTCGCGCCGGCGCACCACAATCGACGAATCTGCACGAGGGCGTCTTGCTGGACCACTCGCCACCCAAGCCGCACGAGATGATCTAGTGGGTGTAGTTAATTGACTTAGTTGGTGGCCCAAAACTGGATGATGCATCACCTACCGCCTCGCCAACTAGCACATAGCCCGGCTCACACACATACGTGGCCGTGGATCCGGCCCGCTTGTCATTGAATCGCACATCTCCTCCGGCAATGGGCTGCGGATCCGGACACCAGTCGACCAGACACTCCGGCTGCTTACCGCTCCATCCGTCCACGGCGCACGTGCGGTTCTCGTTCCCGATTAGCGTGTAGTTCTCGTGGCAACTGTACGTGGCCACCACGCCGAAGCTCGTCCGCTCCTCCGACATGTGGATGGATCCGAACTTCAGCTCCGGCAGACTGCCGCAGTCCACATCTGCGGGGGAATTCAAGGATTTCGTTGTGAGAAGCAATCAAAACAGATCTTCATGTACTATTAACTTCAATGTGGACTGGACTTAAGTACATGCTTCAATGGAACCCCATTGGCCATAATATTCCTGCACAATTGTCCATTCAACTCAGTAATTGGCAGTGAGGTAATTGATGATTGACGGTTTCTTTGCTTTAGCTAACTGAAGCAGTGGTATTGCACAACATGGCTTACATTTGCAGGTCGGCGAGGAGCCACTCCAAGTGCCATCCGGTCTGCACTCCCGTTCCGTCTGACCGAGCAGCGAGTGGCCCTTGGGACAGGTGTACTGGATCTTCTCGCCGAGAGTGAACTTTTTGCCCATGACAGTGGTGTTTTGCTGGGCATCCGGTGAGCCGCAAGACAATGGAGCTGCCGGAAGAAGCAAAGAGACAAAACAGAGACGGGTTGGTGAAGTGCCGATGACACTGACTATTCCCATGGCAAGACCTACAGTGCTGGCAGATGAAGTGCAGGTAGTCCAGGTTGCAGCCGACGTCGTTCCACAGCCAGTTGCGACCTCCATCGAGGACCACACAGTTCTGTTCGCCATTGTAGTTATTCGGCTGATCCTTGCCCCAGGTCGGCTTTTGCACCACATCGCCTGTTGGGGATGATGATTTTATTCGTGATGAAATAAAATAACAGCAGACAACTAGTTAGCCTCACCGTTCACCCATTTCCAGGTGCGCGATGTGATGCCCGGCTCCTTTTGGGCGCCAATCCACACGAGCTGCGGCTTCAGCTCGCTCTTCCGGCGCTCCAGCTCGGACAAGATGTACGAACTGGTGGCGCCACGAAAGTTGTGTACCAAGTCGCCACCTGTAATTACGAAGGAATTGTGGGCTGTGCGGCATAGATGGGCTGGATGGCCAACTCACCAGTCTGCTTGCAAATGGCTTGCGCCTTGTCGAAGCTTTCTCCTTTTGTGATATGAAAGTCGTAGCAGGTTTTCGAGAATGTCGTTACCACGGTGTCCACCCCGATTTTCGGACTCAGGCAGCGGTCCACGGAGAACTCGTCGTTGGTGAAGGTCTCCACCTCGCACAAGCTGAGGCTGCCCTCCACGCCCACCAGCTGAATGGCCACGTACTGACCGACCAGTGGGCGGGCACAGGTGAAGGTCTTCACCACGCCCTCGTCGAGGGTGCCCGGGTACCAGGCGCACAGCGGATTCCGCTGCAGGTCCGCGCTGCTGTTGCCCACCCGGATCTCCAGATCCTGCAGTGGCTGATGGCCGCAGCAGCCGCGCGTCGTTATCCGCACCACGTGCACCGCCTGCGGGGTCAGGAGGTCGACGCGCCACCACGGCGACGGCTCCTTCTGCGTCTCGGAGCACTCCTGGCCATCGGGATTCTGGGAAGGCAGGGCGAAAGAACGTCAT